TACTCCTGCATTTCTTTGATAATTCTCAGTTCATAAACTATAAGTTGATATTACATAAACTAGTTAGGCATTCTGAATTTGTAGATTATGTTTGCATTTGTAAAATGTTTACACTTCTGGCCAGGCACAGTGGCCCATGCCTGTAATCCTAGCACTTTGGGAGGCGAGGCAGGTGGATCATGAGGTCAGGAGATCGAGACCATCCTGGCTAACACAGTGAAACCCCGTCTCTACTAAAAATATAAAAAATCAGCCGGGCATGGTGGCGGGTGCCTGTAGTCCCAGCTACTCGGGAGGCTGAGGCAGGAGAATGGCATGAACCTAGGAGGCGGAGCTTGCAGTGAGCCAAGATCACACCACTGCACTCCAGCCTGGGCAAGAGTGAGACTCCATCTCAAAAAAAGAAAAAAAAAAAAAAAGTTTACACTTCTAATTAAACCAGTTTTTTCTTTTAGGCAGTTAATAGTATCATATCTATTGTTTTTGGTACTCGAAGAATTGCCTGGGCTCACCTCGATCGTAAATTGACAGTGCTGGACTGGCAGCACAGTGACCGTTGGAGTTTAATGAAGGGAACATCATACTCATCATCAGTCTACTTAGAAGAGGTAAGGCAGTTGCAGCACCTCCAGATTCCTACCTGCTAGAGTGTAGTTTAATCTTCTGGTCCCAAAAGGAATGTAATAAAATAGTAAAGATGGGTTTTCTTCTGGTACTTGTTACTCACTTGTTCCTATTATGTTTTCCATCACCTTTGATTTTTAAAAATTCAACCTTTAGTTAGTTCAAGAAATGCCTTATGCTTTTAAAGGCAGATACTGAGAAAATCAATGGTATTTCATTCTAAATGTTATAGAACATTATCACTGTCTTTTATTTATAAAGCTTATTTTTCAAAATGCCATCACATTGTGTCATTTGAGTTTTCAAAACCTTGTGAAATGGGCAGGAATTATCACCTTGATTATACATATGAAATCTGTGGTTCAGTCAAGCATCTGATGTGATTAGTCAGTTGCAGACATGATTGATTCTTGCTAGTTATTCTAACCCTATGCTCTATCCCAGAAAATGTTTGAAGGTTAATAAAACAGTTTTAAGTTGTCTAATCTTAAAGCCAATACAGATTTTAGAAATTATGAAGTCCATTGTACAGATCAAGAAACTGGTACTTAGGAGGACTAAATAGCTTAGCTGTTGTTGTGACACAACCATGACCAGAACCAGACTGCTCATAAAATGGCTTTTTCAGTTATTTCAAAATTGTCAATAGTGATATAGTATAAGTTAACTAATTATAATATTTTTAAATAGAAGTGGGACAGAGAGGGGACCAAACATAAAATGTAATGAATTATTTCTGCTCCTTTATTTTGCCTTCTTTTAAAAGATTTCCTCGATCATTTCAAAGATGCCTAAAGCAGATTTCTATGTTCTGGAAAAAACAGGACTTTCCATTCAAAACTCATCTCTGTTTCCAATACTGCTACATTTTCATATCATGGAAGCCATGCTGTATGCCTTATTGAATAAAACTTTTGCCCAGGAAGGGCAGCATCAGGTGCTGAGCATAAATCGAAACGCAGTGGGGAAGCATTTTGAACTGATGATTGGTGACTCCCGGACTAGTGGAAAAGAGCTCGTGAAGCAGTTTCTCTTTGATTCTGTACTGAAGGCGAATCCTCGGGTGTTCTTCCCATCAGATAAAATAGTCCGCTACAGACAGATGTTTTTATCTACTGAACTACAAAGAGTAGAAGAGCTTTATGATTCATTATTACAAGCTGTTGCCTTCTATGAATTAGCAGTGTTTGACTCTGAGCCCTAGAATTCTGAGGTTAATGTGCTACAGTTATATTAATGTATAATTATTAGCTCTAACGTAACACCAACTGTTGTGAACATCCATGTTATTGGAAAAGAACACATTTTGAGTGTATTTTAGATGTTTAAATTCTGACTTTTGGCTATTAAATGGCTTACACAATAAGCCAAGACCAAATCAATAAACATTTTATGAGATTCTGTGCCTTTCAGGTTAACGTGTTAAACAGTAAGATGGGGCTTGGTGCAGTGGCTTACGCCGATAATCCCAGCACTGTGGGAGGCTGAGGCAGGAGGACTGCTTGTGCCCAGGGAGCTCAAGAGCAGCTTGGGTAACATAGCAAGACCACAAATTTTTAAAAATTTTTCATTAAAAAAAGAAACAGATGCCAACTTCACAAAAACAAGAAACAAAGTTATCTCCTTTTAAAAGCAAATACTATCTACACTAAGCATTTGTATTATCATCATATTGTTAAAATAGGGAATAATGGTTTTCCTAGGTGGTACTTACTATAATAAAGCTGGCCTGGCGCAGTGGCTCACACCCGTAATCCCAGCACTTTGGGAAGCCGAGGCGGGTGGATCACCTGAAGTCAGGAGTTTGAGACTGGCCTGACCAAAGTGGAGAAACCCTGTCTCTACCAAACAAAAAAATACAGAATTAGCTGGGCATGGCGGTACATGCCTGTATCCCCAGCTACTCGCAAGGCTGAGACAGGGGAATCGCTTGAACCTGGAAGGTGGAGGTGGCAGTGAGCTGAGATAGTGCCATTGTACTCCAGCCTGGGCAACAAAAGTGAAACTCCATCTCAAAAAAAAAAAAAAAAGAATAAAGCTAAAGATAACCAATAACACAGCTTATAGAATCGTCCTCTTATTCTCTAAGTAGAATGTGGTTTGCCACACTGCCTCCAAAAGCTGGTTTTCTTTTTTTGAGATAGGGTCTCACTTTATCACCCAGGCTAGAGTGCAGGGGCATAATCACAGTTCACTGCAGCACCTCCTAGCCTCAAGCAGTCCTCCTGCCTCTCTTGAATAGCTAGGACTACAGGCACATGCCACCATACCCAGCTAATTTATTTTGTGTAGAGACGGGTCTCACCCTGTTGCCCAGGCTGGGCTCAAATTCCTGGCCTCAAGCAGTCCTCCTGCCTCAGCCTCCCAAAGTGCTGGGATTACTGGTGTGAGCCACCATACCCGGCCCCAAAAGATGACTTTCATCAGCTCAAATATATTAGCCAAAAACAAACAAGCTTTGTCTAATAGGCTTTTGTTTTGAGACCTAGTCTGGCTCTGTTGCCCAGGCTGGAGTGCAGTGGCGTGATCTTGGCTCACTGCAACCTCTGCCTCCTGGGTTCAAGCAATTCTCCTGCCTCAGCCTCCCAAGTAGCTGGGACTATAGGCACACACCACCATGCCCAGCTAATTTTTGTATTTTTAGTAAAGATGGGATTTCGCTATATTGGCCAGGCTGGTCTCCAACTCCTGACCTTGTGATCCTCCTGCCTCGGCCTCCCAAAGTGTTGAGATTACAGGAATGAGCCACCGTGCCCAGCAGGCTCATTTTTTAACTTTGCAATATTTTAATTTGACAGACCATCTTTTGATGTCCATTTTACCATTGTCTATCTTAGTTGAGGTCCTCAATATATCTTCTTTATGAACCTAAGTCTCTTTGATGTCAAAGTATTAAGTATCAGTGGTGCATGCCTGCCAGCTACTTGGAAGGCTGAGGTAGGAGGATAACTTGCGCCCAGGAGTTTGAAGCCAGCCTCGGCAACATAGCAAGGCCCCATCTCTTAAAAAAAAAAAAAAAAAGTATTAAATATTTTCTGTAACATAAACATTTTCTATAATCTAAAAGTGAAATATACTTGTTTAAAAAAATTTCAAATAATCTGAAACAAAGCAAGAAATGGAAGCCCTCCCTTCTCTAGCACCTCCAACTCCCTAGGGTTGGTATACGCTCTTGACCTGTTGCCACGCACAAATACAGTTTCTATATTTACATATGTTATTGTGTACCTAAACATCTCCACTTTGGAAATGTAGATACCTCAATCTATGCATGTCTAAAAAGGAAATCATTCTCTTTCCATCCAAACCATCTCCTTTGCCATTGTTTTCTATTTTGATAGTTTCTCCAACTACCTAGTTGTTCATAACAGAAACATGGCATTATCACAAAAGTGAATCTGAATCTTCCAGGAATTTACTGTCTTTAAAAACGAAAGGCTGGGCGCAGTGGCTCATGCGTGTCATCTCAGCACTTTGGGAGGCTGAGGCGGGCGGATCACGTGAGGTCAGAAGTTCAAGACCAACCTGGCCAACATGGAGAAACCCTGTCTCTACTAAAAATGCAAAATTAGCTGGGCATGGTGGGGCGTGGTGGCACATGTCTGTAATCCCAGCTACTCGGGAGGCTGAGGCAGGAGAATCACTTAAACCCGGGAGGTAGAAGTTGCAGTGAGCCAAGATCACACCATTGCACTCCTGCCTGGACAACAAGAGCGAAACTCCATCTCAAACAAACAAAAAAAATGAAAAGGCTGGGTGCAGTGGCCGCATCCATAATCCCAATACTTTGGGAGGCCAAGGAAGCAGGATCACTTGAGCTCAAGAGTTGGAGGCTGTGGTGAACTATGATTGTGCCACTGTACTCCAGCCTGGGCAACTAGAGTGAGATCAAGAGTGAGACCTCTTAAAAAAAAAAAGATAAAGTTTTTTTCCCTGAATTATTATAAACCTAAAAATAAATAAAATATTAAATGTGTCCCTATTAGGGAGGAAAATACTCCTATTATTTTCTTTTTTTTTTTTTTTTAAGAGGAGAAAAAAGTTTTTTAAAAATATTTTTAAAAATACTTCAGGCCAGGCACAGTGGCTCACGCCTGTAATCCCAGCACTTTGGGAGGCCAGGGCAGGCAGATCACCTGAGGTCAGGAGTTTGAGACCAGCCTGTCCAACATGGAGAAACCCTGTCTCTACTAAAAATACAAAATTAGCCAGGTATGGTGGTAGGTTCCCGTAATCTCAGCTACTCGGGAGGCTGAGGCAGGAGAATCGCTTGAACCTGGGAGGTGGAGGTTGCAATGAGCCAAGATCCTGCCATTGCACTCCAGCCTGGACAACCAGAGCAAAACTCCGTCTCAAAAAACAAAACAAAACAAAACTTCAGAAGATCTTATTCTCTCTTCTGTACAGGGATGAAATCTTTAAGTTATATCCTATATTCAAACCCATACAATATACATATTTACCAAGGTGATTACATCTGAACTCTTTTTTAAACATTTCATAAAGCCTTTAGCTTTAACCTTTAATTAGATCAATATACTAATTAATGCAAGAAAAAGTAAATTGAACAAATAAGAGGTAAAAATATCTATCTTCATACACATTTATAAACATATACTGTTCAAAATTGTACAATATAGACCGAGCACGGTGGTTCACGCCTGTAATCCCAGCACTTTGGGAGGCCAAGGCGAATGGATCACTTGAGGTCAGGAGTTAGAGACCAGCCTGACCAACATGGTAAAACCCTGTCTCTACTAAAAATACAAAAATTAGCTGAGCAAGGTGGTGGGCTCCTGTAATCCCAGCTACTCGGGAGGTTGAGGCAGGATAATCGCTTGAACCTGGGAGGCAAAGGTTGCAGTGAGCTGATACCAAGCCACTGCACTCCAGCCTGGGTGACAGAGTGAGATTCCATCTCAAAAAACAATAACAAAAAAAAAAAAACTGTACAATATGAGGATCCTTAACTTTTGGGTTAAAAATATAATTCATCAGATAATGTTTTTGTTTTATTGTTGTTTTTTTTTTTGTAAAGCCAGTCAAATTTAGCAGTGGGAGATTGTATACCAACTTTAGTGACACTAATGTATCTGAATATTAAGCTAATATATAATATAAACACTTGAAATAGGGAGTTCATCTTAATGAACTCTACCTTCCAGAAACAGTTCACTCACATAGAAAAAATACTCCAACAAAGCTAAATCAGATAATACAAAAAATTCAGAAAAAAAATTACAATCATATATACAATTTGTAACTCAAATATTTTAAATATTTGCCCACCAATAAAAAAATATACAAATTGTTTGTTTAAAATGTACATTGAGAAATATACTTTTCCACGAAGATCCACATAATATAAAAATGTATCTTAAGGACCACATGATAATCTATACAAAGCATGGTTAGTATGAAACATTAAGGGAAGGTAGCTGCCAAAGTATTCACAGTCTCTTTTGGAATGTCAAGATGAATTCCTTCAAAATAGTGCAGGAATCTGTCAAAATTACAAAGAAAAATACAATTTAATATTAACATTTTCATCTTATGAAAATATGTATTAATCTTGAAAAAACTATCTAAAATGTTGTTTTTAATAAAGCCTTTACCTTCTTTTACTTTTTCCTTGTTCTTTTAGCTTCTCAGTCTTACAGATGTTTCGAAGGGTTGGCAGGTACTCAATTATACTAGCTTGTCTATTACCCACATAGAGAAGAGATCGACTCGAAAATACACTTTTAATGACTGCTATCCTCTTCCAAGCATTCCTGTAAAAGTAATGCATTGTTTTTAATTTTTAATGCCCAAGAAAAATGCAGTAATCCCAATCACAACCAGTTTAGTTTCCTTGCCTCTGGTCTAGACCAGATGACATTTCCAGATTAATTTCCTGTCAACATATCAATCACTCCCATACTGAAAAATCTCAGTAACTATCTGCTATCTATCACAGCAAGACCAAACTCCCTCCTGGGTTATTCAAGCGTTACCTAAATCCACCCCAATCCTCATTATTTCTCTTCCCAGCAATCAGGCTGGTCTCCTTAACTGTCTCATTAGAAGCTGCATTATTAATGTTAAGGGCTTACAATGATCAACAGTACAGCACTTTTAAATTAAGAAAAAACTAATGATTTCCCCTTTACTATTTATTACTAAAAAATAAAAAGTAAAGGAAGTAAGACTTACTCTAAATTAGCTGCTGACTGACTAAAGTATACATTATTGCGCTTTTGTGAAATATAAAAAGTAAGATCATTGGTTGGATCTCTTCCTAATTTCTTGCAAGAATTCAAGTTTTCCAGTGCTTTTGAAATAGTAGAAGAACATTTAGTAAAGCTGAGAGCTTCTGCAGCTGCTTTTAATTCTCCAGAGCTTTGAGAAGTCCATCCATCATTACTCTCAAGACTAAACTCATCACAAAGTCCACTTTTAACCTTTCCATTTGTCCAACTCAAGTCATTTCTACCGTATTCGTTTTGTTCCCTTACATCAGTTAAAAGGGCATCTAAGAAGGACATGTTATCCATGAACTCAGAGAGAGAATTTAAACAATGAGAAACAAGGGCAGAACATTTTTTTTCTGCAGTTGTTTTGGGAGGACGAGGAATAGATTTCTTTGTCTCTGAATTGCTTCCTTTGTCTCTGGCTTTGCTTTCTTCTGAATTTGAGGAAGACAACACAGGGGACAGCCTAACAGATTCATCAGGGAAGTCCAAGTCAGTGTCGAATAAGTCACTATCATCTAATATTACCAATGTTTTCTTTTGTTTCTTTTTCTGGGACTTTTTCAATGGCTGTTCTCTTTCAGAATGTTTCCTAGCAAGACAGTTCACACTTTTTGTTGCTGCACTGGCATCCACAGTTACTGATGAGCCACAAAAGTTTTTAGTTTCTGGAATGGTATCAACTGGTAATGGTAGAATAAACTCAAGATTACTATATAAAAAGTCTACATTCCGCATTTGGAATTCTGTAAGAAGCTGGATGAGTTTATGCCATTCTTCCTTTGTTGTGATTTTGTGCTGAAAAACAATGTTGAATAAAGAAATGTTATAGCAGTACATAGTCTGAACACTTCTTGTATGAATACAGTGTTATCCTTATTCTAACTTCAAAGTATTGAGTCACTACCCCTCATAATTTTATTTATCTATATTTAATATATCAAAATAGTACTAAAAGTCTAAAAATTAAATTTAGACTTAATTTGGAGAATTAAATTCTCTATATATGTAGTATATACTCCAATATTATTAGAAGCACATTTATTTAAAACCACTTCTCTGAAATAGTCTATCTGAAAAATATTCTAAATTCTATTCTAAATCCTACAATATGCATTCAGAGCAATGCCTATGCACCATTTGTTAAAGTGATAGAATGTGTTAAAATCAGAGACCTAAGGCTTATACAAATTATAGGCATAGTTAAGTTAAACTTAAGATTCAAAAGACAGGAGTCTAGTGTTGGGAATATGAAAAGGAATATAAATTCAACATTGCAAAACAGACATTGAAAATACCTTTAAAAATGAAAATAAGTCTTCAGATGGGGAAAAAATGTTCTTAAGACCAAACAAGGTCTCAGCACAGCCACTGTCACATTTCGGAAGGTCTATACATTTCTTTTTAGTATTTTTAGGGTAAATTTTGTTATCAAGGCCATGTTCAGAGCAAACTAGTTGTACATTTTTGCTATTTCCACCTACAAAATAAAAGAAAATCTTAGCTCTCTCTATATATGTATTAAACAAATTGTATCAAACAATTATTTAAAGCCTGAGATCCTTTGACATCTTCTGGACAAATATCCCCATTTTGTTGTTTAATTCATTAAGAGTACAATATAAGCATTATTCTTTTTTTTTTTTTTTTTTTTTTTAAAAGACAAAGTATCACTCTGTCACCAGGCTGACGTGCAGTGGTTCAATTTCAGCTCACTGAAACCTCCACCTCCTGGGTTCAAGTGATTTTTCTGCCTCAGCCTCCAGAGTAGTTGGGATTACAGCCACGCGTCACCACACCTGGCTAATTTTTGCATTTTTAGTAGAGACGGGGTTTCACCATGTTGGCCAGGCCGATCTCGAACTCCTGACCTCAAGTGATCTGCCCCCTCGACTTCCCAAAGTGCTGGGATTACATACGTGAGCCACTGTGCCCAGTCATAAGCATTATTTCTACCAAGAAATAAACTAAGTGAGGTGATGGTGGGGGACTTTCAAAGCCATCCAACAGAAAAAGTGCAAGGACTATGAGCAGGCAAATCACAGAAGAAAAATAAATGCCTAATATTAATTTCAGGCTGGGTGAGGTGGCTCACGCCTGTAATCCCAGCACTTTGGGAGGCTGAGGCAGGTGGATCACTTGAGCTCAGGAGTTCGAGACCATCCTGGGCAACATGGTGAAACCTCGTCTCTACTCAAAATACAAAAATTAGCCAGGCATGGTGACGCATGCCTGTAGTCCCCGCTACTAGGGAGGCTGAGGCAGGAGAATAGCTTGAACCTGCGAGGCGGAAGTTGCAGTGAGCTGAGATCACGCCACTGCACTCCAGTCTGGGCAACAGAGTGAGACTCCAAAGGAAAAAAAAAAAGAAACAGTAATTTCAGCGGGGCACAGTGGCTCACACCTGTAATCCCAGCACTTTGGGAGGCCAAGGCAGGTGGATCACCTGAGGTCAGGAGTTTGAGACCAGCCTGGCCAACATGGCGAAACCCCATCTCTACTAAAAATACAAAAAATTAGCTTGGCGTAGTGGTGCGTGCCTATAATCCCAACTACTTGGGAGGCTGAGGCAGGAGAATCACTTGAACCTGGGAGGCAGAGGCTGCAGTGAGCTGAGATCACGCCATTGTACTCTGGCCTAGGCGACTGAGCGAAGCTCCACCTCAGATAATAATAATGATAATAATAATAATAATTTCAAAGACCTAATAAGAAGATATGCAATTTCACCAATAAGCATGGAAATGTAATTTTAAAATAATATACTGTACGCGTTTCACTTTTTAAATTGGCAAAATTAAAAGAATTATAATGTAGTTCTGTCAGCAGTACACATGAAAAAACCATCATATACTATTCATGGGAGCATAAGTTGGTACAATTGTCATCAGAGGGCAGTCTGACAACTATCAAAATGTAAAGTGTATACACCCTTTGTGACCCAGCAGTCATACTTCTAGAATTCTCTCTATCAGTATTACAGACATGTTCAAGGATATATGTTTAAAGATATTCACCGTATTTTAATGTCAAATTGAAGATAGTTTAAGTGTCTATAAGTAATGGTTAAATTACGGTACATCCATTCTATTCTATAGAAAAGCATGCAGCTGTGAAAAACAGTGGGATAATAGGACCATATGTGCTGACAATAAACTTAAAAATAACTAACAACATATATAATAATAGGTTAATTTTCCTAAATAAGTATTTTTATGTTATATGCATAAAGGTCTAACTGTGGCTACTTTCAAGAAGTAGGGGAATATTGTTTTATGTATGTGTTTTTTTTTTAAAGGCAGGAATGAAATGTATATTAAAAAAAGGACCTTTAAGAAGAGAAATTGGCCGGGTGAGGTGGCTCATGCCTGTAATCCTAGCACTTTGGGAGGCTGAGGTGGGCAGATCACGAGATCGGGACCATCCTGGCTAACACAGTGAAATCCTGTCTCTACTAAAAATGCAAAAAATTAGCTGGGCATGGTGGTACATGCCTGTAATCCCAGCTACTCGGGAGGCTGAGGCAGGAGAATCGCTTGAACCTGGGAGGTTGCAGCGAACCGAGACTGCGCCACTGCACTCCAGCCTGGACGACAGAGCCAGACTCTGTCTCAAAAAAAAAAAAAAAAAAAAAAGACAAAGAAAAAAAAGAAGAGAAACTATGCTATACTTATTTTCTGTCTTCTAAAGTTCTTGCTGTAACAATTTATATCCAGTGATATATCAAAAAGTTATTAACTAATTTGTTACACCAGGATATTTTCCATGTGTTATATATTATATTTACTTTTGAGATATGGTTAAAGCTATGGGCTTACACTGAATAGAATATATAGGCATATCTACTTTGAAAAACAATAATATGAAGCCGGGTGAGGTGGCTCATTCCTGTAATCCCAGCACTTTGGGAGGCCAAGGAAGGTGGATCACTTGAGCCCAGGAGTTCAAAACCGGGCTGGGCAACATAGTGAGACCCCGTCTCTACAAAAAATACAAAAGTTAGGTGTGGTGGTGCACGCCTGTGGTCCCATCCACTCAGGAGGCTCAGGTGGGAAGACGGCTCGAGTCCAGGAGATTGAGGCTCCAGTGAGCCATGACTGCGCCACCACTGCACTCCAGCCTGGGCAACAGAGTGAGACACTGTCTCAAAATAAAAAAAAAAAAAAAAGAAGAAGAAGAAAAAGAATATGTTAAAATGTTAAACTAATTAAAAGAAAAAACTGATAAGGAATTAATATTACATAATTTCACCTTGGTTTCCTTGAAATATTTGTGTATTTACCAGAGTAGGATCTGTAACTAGAGAACCGTGACTATGGAGCATGGAAACCACAAACTAAAACCTCTTCAGGCAAGGAGCCATGTCTTAACCATGTAAACACAAGACCCGACATGGAGAAGGTACTCACTTGAATTAGGTAACAATGATGACTGAAAAAAAAAAAAAGAAATAAAAGCATTTCTGAAATAATAAAGTACTTAGGAAAGACAGAATTTAAAGACTCCTGAAGTTAAAAGTGATTGTACATTATAGTTACATAAAAAGAATACTATATATCTATATATCTACTCATGTAGAAAAACCAATGTTTTTAGTAAGTGAAAAAGTTGTTAAATAATAATTTTAGTATCATTTGTTTATAAGGAACCATATGTTAATAAATGTATGCATAACAGTTTGAAAATTTAAGAGTCAAATTTCTGGGGAGGAAGCTGGACACAGTGGCCTACTTAGGAGGCTAGGACAGGAGGATCGCTTGAGCCCAGGAGTTCAGGGCTATCCTGCATTATGATCCTGCCCATGAATAGTCAGTCACTATACTCTAGCCTGGGCAATATAGCGAGACCCTATCTCAAAAAAAAAAAAGGAAGAAAAACTTTTGAAGAGGAAAGGGGAACAGGGTGGGAGGTTTTTTCTGTGTTTGTCTTTTAATTTTTTTTTTTTTTTTTTTGAGACAGAGTCTCGCTCTGTCGTCCAGGTTGGAGTGCAGTGGCGCGATCTTGGCTCACTGCAGCCTCTGCCTCCCGGGTTCAAGCAATTTTCCCGCCTCAGCCTCCCAAGTAGCTGGGATTACAGGCACATGCTGCCACGCCTGGCTAATTTTTGTATTTTTAGTAGAGACGGGGTTTCACCATATTGGCCAGAATGGTCTTGATCTCCTGACCTCAAGATCTAACCTCCTCAGCCTCCCAAAGTGCTGGGATTACAGGCGTGAGCCACCGTGCCCAGCCTGTGTGTGTGTGTTTTTAATTAAACAATGAGATCATCTTAAAAGCGCAACTACAAAAGAGAAGTAACTTACAGATTAGTTCAAATCTCTCATTTTTGAGGTGAAAAAACAGGCTCAAAAAGGCAAAGTGAATTTTGGAGCTTATATATTAATTGTAAAGAGCAGCATACCCAGGAGAAAAATCCAACTTTCTAGGTCCAGTTTAATTCTGTTTACTCACGTTGACTGCAAAATTTTTTCTTTTAGTCAGAGTCTCACTCTGTTACCCAGGCTGGAGTGCAGTGGCATGATCTTGGCTCACTGCAACGTCGATCTCCCAGGTTCTAGCAATCCTCCCATCTCTACCCCCCAAGTAGCTAGGACCAGAGGCATGCACCACCATGCCTAGCCAAATTTTTGTAGAGATGGGGTTTCACCATGTTGCCCAGGCTGGTCTCAAACTCCTGAGCTCAAGGAATCCACCCCACTTGGCCTCCCAAAGTGCTGGGATTACAGTTGTGAGACACTGTGCCAGGCCAAAATGTTTTATGAACAAAGTTGACATATGCATATTTATTTTGAAGATTAACATAACAAGTTGCTTAAAATTTTTATAATCTTTCAACTATTCTAGTATAGCACAGAGTTTTTTTAAGTAAAAAAAAAAAAAAATTTTTTTAGGGCCAGATGTGGTAGCTCACGCCTGTAATTCCAGCACTTTGGGAGACCAAGGCAGGTGGATCACAAGGTCAGGAGTTCAAGACCAACCTAGCCAACACAGTAAACCCCGTCTCTACTAAAAGACAAAAAAAATTAGCTGGGCATGGTGGCGGGGGCCTGTAATCCCAGCTACTCGGGAGGCTGAGGCAGGAGAATTGCTTGAACCTGGGAGGCAGAGGTTGCAGAGAGCCGAGATCGCACCACTGCACTCCAGCCCAGGCAACAGTGCCAGACTCCATCTGAAAAAAGAAAAAAAAATTTTTTTTTTTTTTTTTTTTAAGATATGGGATATTGCTGTATTGTCCAGGTCAGAGTGCAGTGGCATAATCATAGCTCACTGCAGCCTCAAACTCCTGGGATCATGTGATCCTCCTACTTCAGCCTCCTGAGTAGCCAGTACACGCCACCCTGACCAGCTTATTTAAAAAAATTTTTTTGTAGAGACAGGGGTCTCGCTTTCTTGCACACGCTGGTTTTGAACTCCTGGCTTCAAGTGATCCTCCCGCCTTGGCCTCCCAAAAATTTTCTTGTAGAGACATGGGTCTCACTATGTTGAGCAGACTGATCTGGACCTCCTGGCCTCAAGAGATCCTCCACCTTACTCTCCCAAAGTGCTGGGATTACAGGCATGAGCCACTGCACCCAGCCATAGCACAGATTTTTAAATAGGGTCCCATAATAGAAATGTCTTTAATAACAAATCAACTTACCATGAAGGGTTAATGGTCGTTCTTCTAAAACTCCACCTCCACTTCTAATCCAGAATTGTAAGTAAAGGATACTTTTTCTGATATCGCAAGTATTTGCAGTTAACAAGGTTACAAAGTCTTTTATATCAGTTCTAAAATTCTCAGTTAAGCAAATCATTTGTAGGTAGCTGGCAACATTTAGCTTCAAAACAGAGAGAAATGTGGTTAACTGCTGAGTTAAAATAGATACAGCAATAATACATACAAATAATATCTAAAAGTGAGACAAATTTTGCTAAAATTCACATTATCCTAAATGCTCTTCTTGAGGATGAAACTGCTTTAAAAATATAAGGGAATATACTACTAAATTAAAAGCATTTATATATATTTCTTTTATTAACTGTATATTGTGCAAGACAGCAAGGAAACTTTTATAGGAGATTCTCCAACCTGAACACTGGCAGTTTTACAAACCTTGACAAAACCCCTTAGGATTAAGTAATAGTATAGCTTGATAGAATATCTTACAACAAAATTATAAATATGATACTGTAACACTGAAAAATACACAATTTTTTAAAAACAGGTTAGAAATTGCACTAATGAGTGCATAAAGCTAATTAATTTTTTTTTTGTAGAGATGGGGTCTCACTGTATTGCCCAGGCTGGTCTCAAACTCCTGGCATCAAGCAATCTTCCTGACTTAGCCTTCCAAAGTGCTGGGATTATAGGCACGAGCCACTGTGCCCAGCCAAGAAATTGAGAGAGGCTGAGGCAAGAAGATCACCTGAGGTCAGGAGTTTGAGACCAGCCTGCCCAGCATGGTGATACCCTATCTCTAACTCCAGCTACTCAGGAGGCTGAAGCAGGAAAATCACTTGAACCTGGGAGGTGGAGGTTACAGTGAGCCAAGATCACACCATTGCACTCCAGCCTGAGCGACAGAGCGAGACTCTGTCTCAAAATAAATAAATTAAATAATTCAGTTTATCAAAGAGTTTTCCACAAAGAAAACTCGTAAATTCACTGATGAAGTATATAAAATACCAAAAAATAAAGAATATCAAACCTGTACAAACTCTTAAAAAAAGAGAAGGAAACATTTCTCAACTCTTTTTGGGGGCAGCTTAACCTTAATATTTTAAAGCTAACAAAGACAATTCTTAAAAAAAAAAAAAAGAAAAGAAAAGAGGCCGGGCGCGGTGGCTCAAGCCTGTAATCCCAGCACTTTGGGAGGCCGAGACGGGCGGATCATGAGGTCAGGAGATCAAGACCATCCTGGCTAACATGGTGAAACCCCGTCTCTACTAAAAAATACAAAAATCTAGCCGGGCGACGTGGCGGGCGTCTGTAGTCCAGCTACTCGGGAGGCTGAGGCAGGAGAATGGCGTGAACCCGGGAGGCGGAGCTTGCAGTGAGCTGAGATCCGGCCACTGCACTCCAGCCTGGGCGACAGAGCAAGACTCCGTCTCAAAAAAGAAAAAAAAAAAAAAAAGAAAAAAAAAGAAGGTTACAAAGTAGTATTCCTCAAGAAAATAAACATATGAATCCTTAATAAATTAATCACAAATCTAATCAATCAATAAAGTGGATAATACATCCTGACCAAGTGGTTTATCATTAGAAAATCAGTCAGTGTAATTCACCGTAGAGATAGATAGAAGTAGAAAAATATGATTTCAACACATGCAAAAGAAGCTTTTGATAAAATCCAATACCCACTCTCGATAAAAAGTCTAAGAAAACTGGAATAGGCTGGGGGCCGTGGCTCACGCCTGTAATCCCAGCACTTTGGGAGGCCGAGGCGGGCGTATCATGAGGTCAGGAGATCGAGACCATCCTGGCTAACACGGTGAAACCCTGTCTCTACTAAAAAATACAAAAAATTAGCCGGGCGAGATGGCGGGCGCCTGTAGTCCCAGCTACTCGGGAGGCTGAGGCAGGAGAATGGTGTGAACCTGGGAGGTGGAGCTTGCAGTGAGCCGAGATCCGGTCACTGCACTCCAGCCTGGGCAACAGAGCGAGACTCCGTCTCAAAAAAAAAAAAGAAAGAAAGAAAGAAAGAAAGAAATATAAGGCAAGGGGCAGGTGCGGTGGCTCACATCTGTAATCCCAGCATTTTGGGAGGCTGAGGCAGGCGGATCACTTGAGGTCAGGAGTTCAAGACCAGCCTGGCCAACATGGTAACACTATATCTATTAAAAATACAAAAATTAGCCGGGCGTGGTGGCACGTGCCTGTAGTCCCAGCTACTCGGGAGGCTGAGGCAAGAGAATTGCTTGAACCCGGGAGGGAGGCAGAGGTTGCAGTGAGCGGAGATCGCGCCACTGCACTCCAGTCCAGGTGACAAAGCGAAGACTACATCTTAAAAAAAAAAAAGAAAGAAAAGAAATGTAATGCAAGTAAAACACTGTAAGCTATATATATACTATGACTTAGGTGAACCTTGAGGATGTTATGCTAAGTGAAATAAGCCAGTCACAGCTGGGCGCGATGGCTCAGGCCTGTAATCCCAGTACTTTGGGAGGCTGAGGCAGGAGAATCGCTTGAAACTGAGAGGCAGAGGTTGCAGTGACCGAGATCGCGCCACTGCACTCCAGCCTGGCAACACAGCAAAACTCCATCTCAAAAAAAAAAAAAAAAAAAATCGGTCCCAAAAAGCCAAATCAGTATGATTCCATTTATATCTAGAGTAGTCAAATTCACATAAACAAAGTAAAATGGTAGTTGCCAGCAACTACTGGACAGGAGGAAACAGGGAGTTTGATTTAACGAGCATAGAATTTCAGTTTTGCAAGAACAGTGTGAATATACTTAACACTACTCAACTGTACACTGTTACGTGTTCTTTACCAAAAGCAAATTTTTTAATACAAAAATTTTAAACACCAAGCTATATAATTTAAAATTTCCAGGAGCCACATTAAAAAATTAAAGAAACAAGTAAAATTAATTTTAGGGCCAGGTGCGGTGGCTCACGCCTCTAATTCCAGCACTTTGGGAGGCCACAGCTGGTGGATCACAAGGTCAGGAGATCGAAACCATTCTGGCTAACACGGTGAAACCCCATCTCTACTAAAAAATACAAAAAAAATTAGCCAGGCATGGTAGAGGGCGCCTGTAGCCCCAGCTACTTGGGAGGCTAAGACAGGAGAATCACAGGAACCCGGGAGGTGGAGCTTGTAGTAAGCCAGTGATTGCGCCAGTGCACTCTAGCCTGGGCGACATAGTGAGACTCCGTCTCAAAAAATTATAATAATAATTAATTTTACTACATTCTCTTACAACAATATATCCAAATATTATTGCAAAAAGTAATCAATACAAAAATTAGTGAGATGTGTTACATTCCTATTTTTTGCACTTAGTCCTCAAAATCTGGTGTTAGCCAGGCACTGTGGCTCACGCATATAATACCAGCACTTTGGGAGGCTGAGGCAGGAGTATTACTTGAGCTCAGGAATTCAGGATCAGTCTGGGCAATATAGTGAGACCTCATCTCTACAAAAAAATATTTTTAATTAGCTGAGTGTGGTGGCACACGCCTATGGTCCCAGCTACTCGGGAGGCTGAGGTGGGAGTATTGCTTGAGCCCAGGAGGTAGAGGTTGCAGTGAGCTGAGATTGAGCCACTACACTCCAGCCTAGGAAATAGAGTGAGACCCTGTCTCCAAAAAAAAAAAAAAAAAAAAGTGTTTATATTACACTTTTAGCACAAACTAATTCAGACTAGCCACATTTTAAAAATACATAATAAGCCATATTTAGATATAATTCATATACTATACAATTCACCCACTTAACATGTAAAATTCAATGGTTTTAGTATATCTAGAGTTTTGCACCCATTACCACTATCTAATTACAGAGCATTTTCATCATCCCCAAAAGAAACCCCAGACTAATCAGCAGTCACTCCCTATTTCTACCTAGCTCCTCTAGCCTTAGGCAGCTATGAATCCACTTTCTGTCTCTATAAATTTGCCTATTCTGAACATTTCATACAATTATTATCACACAAAATATGATCTTTTATTAACTGTAGACTAACCACATTTTAAAAGCTCAATAGCCTAATCTGGCTAGTGGAGGCCATATGAGCATATAGCTGAAAGTCAACAGTGAAGGTAAAATGAAATAATACACTTGGTTAATCCAAAAGACTGCAGAGTCTAGACAAATTTTTTTTTTTTCTTTTTTTTTCCCCAGAGTCTCGCTCTGGAAAGCTGGGGTGCTCTGGTGCGATCTTGGCTTCCTGCAACCTCTACCTCCCAAGTTCAGGCAATCCTCCTGCCTCAGCCTCCCAAGTAGCTGGGACTACAGGCACATGCCACTATACCCAGTTAATTTTCTTTCTTTTTTTCTTTCTTTTTACATCCAGCTAATTTTTGTGCTTTTTGTAGAGACAGGATTTTGCCAAGGTTGCCCAGGCTGGTCTTGAACTCCTAGGCTCAAGGGATCCACCCACTTTGGCCTCCTAAAGTCCTAGCATTATAGGCATGAGCATAGCGCCCAGCCTGTTTAGACAAATTTTTTAAAATATTCAATTATGTGTTAAGAGAAACAATTTTTTTTTTTTTTTTTTTTTTTGAGACAGGGTCTTGTGCTGTCACCCAGGCTGGAGTGTGGTGGCATGATCTTGGCTCACTGCAACCTCTGCCTCCCATGCTCAAGTGATCCTCCCACCTCAATCTCCCAAGTAGCTGGGACTACAGGTGTGCACTACCACGTCCAGCTAATTTTTTAAATTTTTTGTAGAGACAGGGTTTCACCACGTTTCCCAAGTCGGTCACAAACTCCTGGACTCAAGCGGTCTCAAACTCCTGGACTCTGCCTCCCAAAGTGCTGGGATTACAGGCGTGAGCCACTGCCTCCAGCTAAGAAACACAATTTAAAAGAAAGAACAGGGTCAGGAGTGGTGGCTCACGCCTGTAATCCTAACACTTTAGGAGGCCAAGGTGGGTGGATTATTTCAGGTCAAGAGTTCAAAGCCAGTCTGGCCAACATGGTGAAATCCCATCTCTACTAAAAATATAAAAAAAATTAGCCAGGTGCGGTGGTATGCATCTCCATTCCCAGTTACTAGGGAGGCTGAGGTGGGAGAATTGCTTGAACCCAGGAGTTGGAGGTTGCAGTGAGCCAAGATCGTGCCACCACACTCCAGCCTGGGCAACAGGGCAATTGTGCCACTACACTCCAGCTTGGGTGAAGAGTGAGACCTCACCTAAAAAAATCAAGAACCCATACAATAAAATTGACCTGACTACAATCATAGCTCACTGCAGCCTGGAACTGCTGGCCTCAAGCAATCCTCTAACCTCAACCTCCCAAAGTGCTGGGATTACAAGTATGAGCCACCATGCCCAGCAACTTAATGTTAATTTTTAAAACTTTTTTTTTTAGAAGAATGAAAAACAAAAAAGAAAAAGGAAAAAGTAAGAAAAAAAAAACACGCACACAAAAACTTTCTTTTTAAAGGTTAAAAAAGTGCCTTGTTCATCATTGTAAGAAAGAAAAAAAAAAAAGGTGGTGACTTCTGGTGGAAAAGGGGATTCTTACTAGAAAGGGTCCATGAGAACTTCAGGAGGTAATGGAAATGCTCTATATTCTGATCTGCATAATGATGACACTGATTTTTACATATGTTACATGTACAAAATACATTCATTAGGTTATTCATGCAAGGGAATTTTAACTCCATTTAAATTTTACCTCAGAAAAGCACTGTTACTAGGCAAAAAACCTAGTGAACATTGGAGCCTCATAAAAATTTTTTTTAATTTAAGAAAAAACATTTTTAGGCCGGGCGCGGTGGCTCACGCCTGTAATCCCAGCACTTTGGGAGGCCGAGGCAGGCAGATCACAAGGTCAGGAGATCGAGACCACAGTGAAACCCCGTCTCTACTAAAAATTACAAAAAATTAGCCGGGCGCGGTTGTGGGCGCCTGTAGTCCCAGCTACTCAGGAGGCTGAGGCAGGAGAATGGCGTGAACCCGGGAGGCGGAGCTTGCAGTGAGCCGAGATCGCGCCACTGCACTCCAGCCTGGGCGACAGAGCGAGACTCCGTCTCAAAAAAAAGAAAAAAAAAAAAGAAAAAACATTTTTAAAGCAAAAAAAAAAAAGAAATATCAGAAGTCCTAAAACTTAAAAATTTTAACATATTCCTTAGAAACCACATTTATGGGAGGCTGAGGCAGGAGAATGGCGTGAACCCGGGAGGCGGAGCTTGCAGTGAGCTGAGATCCGGCCACTGCACTCCAGCCTGGGCGACAGAGCAAGACTCCGTCTCAAAGAAAAAAAAAAAAAAGGAAACCACATTTAAATCATAGCTTTTTTTTCTTTTTCTTTCTTTTTTTTTTTTTGGAGACGTAGTTTCACTCTTGTTGCCCAGGCTGGAGTGCAATAGCACGATCTTGGCTCACCGCAACCTCCTGAATTCCGGCGATTCTCCTGCCACAGCCTCCCTAGTAGCTGGGATTACAGGCATGCGCCACCACGTCCGGCTAATTTTGTATTTTTAATAGAGACGGGGGTTTCACCATGTTGGTCAGACTGGTCTCGAACTCCCGACCTCAGGTGATCCACCCTCCTCGGCCTCCCAAAGTGCTGGGATTACAGGCGTGAGCCACCACACCCAGCCAGGTATTTATTTTTTTTGAGACAGAGACTTGCTCTGTCACCCAGGCTGGAATGCAGCAGTACAATCACAGCTCACTGCAGCCACAGCCTTGACCTCCTGGGCTCAAGCAATTGTCCCACCTCAGCCTCCTGAGTAGGTAGGACTACAGGCATGTGCCACCATGCCTGGCTAATTTTTTGTATTTTTATGTAGAGACAGGGTTTTGCCATGTTGCCCAAGCTGGTCTCGAACTCCACAGCTCAAGCAATCCGCCCTCCTCAGCCTCCCAAAGTGCTGGGATTACAGGCATGAGCAACTGTACCTAGCCTGATTGATTGATTGATTGACCAGGCTAGAGTACAGTGGCACAATTCCAGCTCACTGTAACCTCCACCTCCTGGGCTCAAGTGATCTTCCTGCCTCAGCCTCCCAAGTAGCTGGGAGTATAGGCATGATACCACACCTGGCTAAATTATAGCTGTATTTAATAATAAATTACTTTTACATGATTGTGATATGTAATTTATGGTTATCAAAATTTAAAACTTACCAGGGAAGGAGTACTGAACTTGATTTCTTCAAAGCAGCCATCAAACATTAAACTAAATGTTGGATCTACACACACACACACACAAAAAAACATTCTTAAACATTAAGACCACTAAGTAACTTTTTCCAGTTATACTTTTCTATGAAAATATTCAGCACCCCCCTCCCCACCACCGCCTAGTGCTGTGGTACAGTCATAGCTCACTGCAGCCTCAAACTCCTGGGCTCAAGTGATCCTCTGCTTCAGCTTCCCAAGCAGCTAGGATTATAAGCTCAAGCTGCCACGCCCAGATAATTTTTAAGTTTTTTTGTAGTGATGGGGGTCTCACTATGGTGCCCAGGCTGATCTCAAAACTCCTAGGTTCAAGTGCCCACCTTAGCCTCCCAAAGTGGTGGGATTAAAGGCATAAGCCACCACACCTGGCCAACTATGATCTTCTAATAAAACTACCAGCTGGGCATGGTGCCTCATGCCTGTAATCCCAGCACTTTGGGAGGCCAAGGCAGGTGGATCACTTGAGGTCAGCAGTTCGAAACCAGCCTGACCAATATGGTGAAACCCTGTCTCTACTAAAAATACAAAAATTAGCTGGGCATGGTGGTGTGTGCCTGTAGTCCCATCTACTCAGGAGGCTGAGACAGGAGAATCGCCTGAACTCAGGAGGCAGAGGTTGGAGGTTGCAGTGAGCCGAGATGGCACCATTGCACTCCAGCCTGGGCAATAGAGCGAGACTCTGTCTCAAACAAACAAACAAACAAAACAAACAAAAAACCCACCTAACTTGTGATTAATAAGATTTTTCTCAATATTTTTAGAGTACAATCACTACCAAATGGGCATTAATTTGTAAGTAGAGTCTAGTCTCATGAATATTTATAACTGGAAAAATATTAGAATATTATTATAGTATTTCCAATTTTTTTAAAAAGAAATTGAATTAGTTTTTTAAATGAAACATTCTGTGATAATTCTTTAGAAGATGGATCAATTCTGTTAGGCTGATGATAGCTAAATATACAATAATCCATAAGAAAGTGTTATCGGGGCAAAAGAGTGGCTAAGTTCAGTATTAAGGAACAACGGAAAGGTTGGGTTCCATAAAAAATTTGACCACTAAATAAGATTTAGTGATCTAATCATAGGTATGATAAGGACGCCAGGAGAAGAATCTAGTACTTTCCCTACTAAAATACCTTTACTAGATCTCTTATTTGCATTCTAGAGATTGTTCTCCACTTTCTAAATATCTAACACCCAATATAGTAATCCAAAGTAGTATCCATTTTTAAAAGTAATTGCTATTTGTGAGTTAATTATAATTACTCCACTCTGCAGATGAACTACAGATTTGAGTAACTGTTTAACTGAAGTAAAATCATTGTTACCTACCACTTGTAGTAAGGATTACAGGTCGTTTAGTTGTTGCCATGAATGTTTTGATTGCATTCAAAAACCCAGCATCTTCATCAAAAATTACATCAACCTACCAACAGTTTATTAGAATATTAATGTAATAACAATACACTAATATCAGTTATGTATACATAGTAAATATTCTATATGTCTGTTAGAGACAAAATTTATGAATTTATGAAGTGTGAATTCAGCCCATGTTGAAAGTTTATGTCATACACTATAATGAATTTTAAAATTATCAACTATCAAATGTTAAAAACAAATGCAGCCACCTATTAACTAGATAGATATGAATCAGAATTTATACAATCATTTAACAATAATTAGCAGCCGTGAATTAATCATCTTCCTGAAAAATTATTCTAGAGTGGACAGTTTCATTTGCTTTAATTTCAGATACACGTATTCCCGACCTCTTTAGCTATTTTGCAATTCTTTATAAGAAAACATATTGTATTCTTTAAAGTAAGTCTTAATCATGAGCTCTCACAAATGTATACTTCTATAAGCCTACCTCCTCAAAAAGAATAAGAGATGTTGCATTTTTTCTGCTGGGTTCTTCAGCTCCAACGTCTTTGACATTTGAATTAGTTGCATTTGTAGATTTAGTCTGAGTAATTTGTTTCTGTTCAAAAGAATTTTTTATTCCTGCATAAATACAATATTGATATTTTAGGTAAAATCAACTTTTGCTAAGACACTGGATATATCCACAGAATAAGCTCAAACTGAAATCCATTATCAAAACTGAAATAGGACGGGCGTGGTGGCTCATGCCTGTAATCCCAGCACTTTGGGAGGCAGGTGGATCACCTGAGGTCAGGGGTTCGAGACCAACATGGTGAAATCCCTACTCTATTAAAAATAAAAAAATTAGTCGGTATTGGTGGCACACACCTGTAATCTCAGCTACACAGGAGGCTGAGGCAGGAGAATCACTTGAACCCAGGAGACAGAGGTTGCAGTGAGCCAAGATCACGCCACTGCACTCCAGCCTGGATGAAAGAGTGAGACTCCATCTCAAACAAACAAACAAAAACTGAAACAAGCTGGGCATGGTGGCTCATGTCTGTAATCCCAGTACTTTGGGATGCTAAGGTGGGTGGATCACTTGAGGTCAGGAGTTCAAAACCAGTCTGGCCAATATGGCAAAACCCCATCTTTTTTTTTTTTTTTTTTTTTTTTTTTTTTTTTTTTTTTTTTTTTGAGACGGAGTCTGGCTCTGTCACCCAGGCTGGAGTGCAGTGGCGCGATCTCGGCTCACTGCAAGCTCCGCCTCCCGGGTTTACGCCATTCTCCTGTCTCAGCCTCCCGAGTAGCTGGGACTACAGGCGCCCGCCACCTCGCCCGGCTAGTTTTTTGTATTTTTTAGTAGAGACGGGGTTTCACCGTGTTAGCCAGGATGGTCTCGATCTCCTGACCTCGTGATCCGCCCATCTCGGCCTCCCAAAGTGCTGGGATTACAGGCTTGAGCCACCACGCCTGGCCTTTTTTTTTTTTTTTGAGACAGAGTCTCGCTCTGTCGCCCAGGCTGGAGTGCAGTGGCCGGATCTCGGCTCACTGCAAGCTCCGCCTCCCGGGTTCACGCCATTCTCCTGCCTCAGCCTCCCGAGTAGCTGGGACTACAGGCGCCCGCCACCTCGCCCGGCTAGTTTTTTGTATTTTTTAGTAGAGATGGGGTTTCACCGTGTTAGCCAGGATGGTCTCGATCTCCTGACCTCGTGATCCACCCCTCTCGGCCTCCCAAAGTGCTGGGATTACAGGCTTGAGCCACCACGCCCGGCCCTTTTTTTTTTTTTTTTTTTTTTTTTTTTTTTTTTTTGCAAAACCCCATCTTTACTAAAAATACAAAAATTAGCTGGGTGTGGTGGTGTGTGCCAGTAATCCCAGCTACTCAGGAGGCTGCAGCAGAAGAATTGCTTGAACCCAGGAGGAGGAGGTTGCAGTGAGCCAAAATTGTGCCACTGCACTTCAGCCTGGCCTGGCAATAGAGCAAGACTCTGTCTCCAAAATAAACTAAAACAAAATATTAACACTTCTATATGTAGAATCTTCAGTGTAGCTGAGATTTAATAAATAGCAACAGGAACTCGTAAAATGTGTTCATATTTTTATGTATAAGGGTCATTATTATTAAAAAATATATAATTTAATTTGTCAATTTAATGTCTTACCTTTATTCTTTTCCAGAAGCATTCCTAGTTCTTCATTATTTTTAGGTTTGGGAGATACTTTAAAATAATTTGCCAAGGTTTTGGGAGGAAGTGCTCGCTTTGGCCCACTACTTTTTGGTGATGGTGGAGGAACTTTTCTTGGTGATGTAACAACTTTCTTAGGGGAGCTTATTTTTTCTGCCCAAAACAAATTGCATTTAAAGATAAATATTCTAAAAATCATACAGGTAGCCAGATAGTTAGCCACATTCTGTATTTCTACTCTTAACAGTTAAAAAATTCAAGACAGAAATTTTCTTTCATTCTTACAAATACTTTGTACATTCAAATATTACTATATTTATTTATTCTACCAGTACAGAAGGTTAAGCCAGTCATTTAGAAAAGACACTACTCCTCAAGAAATACACATTCTTTGTTTTTGTTTTGTTTTGTTTTTTTGTTTTGAGACAGGGTCTCACTTTGTCAACCAGGCTGGAGTGAAGTGGTATGATCTCAGCTCACTGCAGTCTCCACCTCTCAGGCTCAAGCAATCCTCCCGCCCAACCCCCAAGTAGCTGGGACTACAGGAGCACACCACAATGCCTGGCTAATCGTTTGTATTTTTAGTGGAGATGGGGTTTTGCCATGTTGTCCAGGCTGGTCTCAAACTCCTGAGCTCAAGCAATCCGCCTGCCTCAGCCTCCTAAAGTGCTAGGATTACAAGCGTGGGCCACTGTACCCAGCCAGAAATACACATTCTTACAACAAATACTGTTCACAATCCCTCCGTTCATTTTTTTCTACACCTGCTTAAAGTCAGAAGAGGATGGAGGGAAAATAACAGTATACACTGAGCACATTACAAAACTTTGTTGTTCAACTTTAATTTAGACCTGCAGTAAATTGCAAGCCAATAATATGTATTTCTAGAGATGCTTTGGAAGATAGATAAAAAGTTAAAAAATAAATAGTTCACCTCTATTCTCCAGAAGCTCCGTGGCATTTTTCCACAGAATACATCCTCTCTTCCCCTCTAGGTACCTGGATTTAGTCCTTACAAATCCTAATTACTGTATGGCCTCAGAACAGGATGCTCCTCACATACCATCTCATATTCACAGTTCCATATCTGTGTCTTATTCTTTTTTGGTACCCTCTGTCTCCATAGATCTTATCATAGCCCTTGTATATTAGAGGTGTTCAATAAGTTTACTGAAAATCTCGAGGTTAAAAAAGCTGTCACAGGCCAGGCGTGGTGGCTCACGCCTGTAATCCCAGCACTTTCGGAGGCCGAGGCAGGCAGATCACAAGGTCAGGAGATCGAGACCATCCTGGCTAACACGGTGAAACCCCGTCTCTACTAAAAATACAAAAAATTAGCCGGAGGTGATGGCAGGCGCCTGGAGTCCCAGCTACTGGGGAGGCTGAGTCAGGAGAATGGCGTGAACCTGGGAGGCGGAGCTTGCAGTAAGCCGAGATAGTGCCACTGCACTGCAGCCTGGGCGACAGAGCAAGACTCTGTCTCAAAAAAAAAAAAAAAAAATATATATATATATATATATATATATACACACACATATATATATGTTGAATAGATATCAATTTATAAAAAACACTCACCATTTTGTCCTTTTTTTGGTTGTTGTTTCTTTTGAGACGGAGTCTCGCTCTGTCACCAGGCTGGAGTGCAGTGGCACGATCTCAGCTCACTGCAATGTCTGCCTTCTGAGTTCAAGTGATTCTCCTACCTCAGCCTCCCAAGTAGCTGGGATTACAAGCACGTGCTACCATGCCCAGCTAATTTCTGTATTTTTAGTAGAGACGGGATTTCACCATGTTGGCCAGGATGGTCTCAATCTCCTGATTTCATGATCCGCCCGCCTCGGCCTCCCAAAGTGCTGGGATTACAGGCATGAGCCACCGTGCCCAGCCTTTGTCCTTATTTTTCTTATTTTGATATAGACCAAGGACTGCTTGATCATGTATGAATACCAGTCCAAGGACTGGTTTTATTTATTTAATTTTTCTGAGACGGAGTCTCACACTGTTGCCCGGGCTGGAGTACAGTAGCACAATCTCAGCTCACTGTAATTACACTCCACCTCTCAATTTCAAGCAATTCTCCTGCCTCAGTCTCCCAATTAGCTGGGATTACAGGTATGCACCACCACGCCTGGCTAATTTTTCTATTTTTAGTAGAGACAGCATTTCACCATGTTGGCCAGCCTGGTATCAAACTCCTGACCTTGTGATCCACCTGCCTGGGCCTCCCAAAGTGCTGGGATTACAGGTATGATCTACTGCACCTAGCCCAAAGACTGGTTTTAAAAATACATGCTTAGCCAGGTGCAGTGGTTCATACCCGCAATCCCAGCACTCTGGGAGGCTAAAGCAGGAGGATTATCTGAGCCCAGGAGTTCAAGTTTGCAATGAGCCATTATTGCATCACTGCAATCCAACCTGGGCAACAGAGGAAGACCTTGTCTTTTCAAAAAATAATTTTAAAAAAGGCAATTTTGGCCGGGCGCGGTGGCTCAAGCCTGTAATCCCAGCACTTTGGGAGGCCGAGACGGGCGGATCACGAGGTCAGGAGATCGAGACCATCCTGGCTAACACGGTGAAACCCCGTCTCTACTAAAAAATACAAAAAACTAGCCGGGCGAGGTGGCGGGCGCCTGTAGTCCCAGCTACTCAGGAGGCTGAGGCAGGAGAATAGCGTGAACCCGGGAGGCAGAGCTTGCAGTGAGCCGAGATCTGGCCACTGCACTCCAGCCTGGGCGGCAGAGCGAGACTCCGTCTCAAAAAAAAAAAAAAAAAAAAAAAAGGCAATTTTTATTTTAAGATACTCAGTGAGTAGTTGGCTAAACTATATCAATATATTCTTTCTAAAAAATTTGGCCAGGCACAGTGGCTCACACCTGTAATCCCAGCACTTCAAGAGTCCAAGGCAGATGGATCACCTGAGGTTAGGAGTTCGAGACCAGCCTGGCCAACATGGTGAAACCCTGTCTCTACTAAAAACACAAATATTAGCTGAGCATGGTGGTGCACACCTGTAGTCTCAGCTGCTTGGGAGGCTGAGGCATGAGAATCACTTGAACCCGGGAGACAGAGGTTGCAGTGAGCCAATATCACGCCACTACACTCCAACCTGGTGACAGAGCAAGATTCCGTCTCAAAAAAAAAAAAAAAAAAGAAAAGAAATTTCACACCAAAAGAACCACCTTCTTGCAGAAACAGCTAACTATATAGGTCTGGGACATCCTAACATGCCGGAAAGCAAGGAAAATATCAACTATTGCTGGGTAATGTCAAAAGGACACAAACCAATTAAAATAGTTCCCCGCTAGCCAAAGATGGAAAAATATGAGCACCAAAAGAAAGTAAGATGGGATTCTGCTTCCAGCCAAGGTATAGAACTGGCACTGGATTTATCCTCCCATCAGAAATAAGAACAACAAGAAAACTGGACATGATATATGAAATAACACTTTTCAAGACTTTTGTCATCAAGCAACACTGGATAGTAATCTCTGAGATACAAATAACAAATAAGGTGAACACTAGAATTGCCCAGCCTATTGCCCTGAGAAAATTTCCATAGTGAGGGGAAAGTCAATCCACGTTTTCTGAGTTGAGACTGCACTAGAAACCTAAGGAGGTTGGCCAGGTGCAGTAGTTCATGCCTGTAATCCCAGCACTCTGGGAGGCTGAGGTGGGTGGATTACAAGGTCAGGAATTTGAGACCAGCCTGGCCAACATAGTGAAACGCCATCTCTACTAAAAATACAAAAAAATTAGCTGGCCATGATGGCGGGCGCCTGTAATCCCAGCTACTTGGGAGGCTGAGGCAGGAGAATCACTTGAACCTGGGAGGCGGAGGTTGCAGTGAGCCAAGATCGCACCACCACACTCTAGCATGGGCGACAGTGTGAGACTCCATCTCAAAAAAAAAAAAAAAAGAAAAGAAAAAGAAAAAAAAGAAAGAGAAACTTGAGGAAGCCAAGGCAGGTGGATCACCTGAGGTCAGGAGTTCGAGACCAGCCTGGCCACCATGGTCAAACCCTGTCTCTACTAAAAATACAAAAAAAATTAGCTGGACGTGGTGGCGGGTGCCTATAATCCAAGCTACTCGGGGAGGCTGAGGCAGGAGAATCGCTTGAACCCAGGAGGTGGAGCTTGCAGCAAGCCAAGATTGTGCCACTGCACTCCAGCCTGGGTGACAAGAGCGAGACTCCGTCTCAAAAAAAAAAAAAAAAAATTACATGGGTGATAGAATTAGTAACCAAGACCATTAAAACAGTTGTTATAAGTGATATGTTCAAACACCTAGAGGAAAGACTGGATACATGGTAAGTAGAAACACAGAAGATACAAAAAGGACCCAAATCAAACTTCTAAAAATGAAAACTACACTTATAGCAGTGACAGCATACTAGATACTACAGAAGAAAAGATGTATAAACTTGAATAAACAGTGATAATAACTAACCAAACTGAAACAAAAAAAGGAAAAAGACTAAAAAATTGAACAAAGCATCAGTGTGCCAGGAGACAATTTCAAGTAGTCTAAAATACCTATAATAATAACTGGAGTTGCCAAAGGAAATGGGGAGGACAGAAAAAATATTTCAAGAAATACTGGTTGAAATTTTATCAACTCTGATCTTCCCAACTATAAACTCATATATGCAAGAAACTCAACAAATCCCAAGCACAAGAAACATGAAGAGAAGTACACCAAGGCATGTCATAATCAAATTACTTAAAACCAGTGAGAAAATCTTCAAAGCAACAAAGAAATAATAAACACAAAGAGGTGAAACATATTATATATAAAAATCCATGAGTTCATAATAACACTTAAAAAATTAAACTGCACAAAAACTTACTGGTCAACTGTCAAGGCTGCTAGGACACCATCACTCTAAGTACTAATAAATAAAGGAAAGAATGAAGCATTTCTGGTGCCTACAAACTGTATTTCAAAGCATCCAAAGAGTTGATGAGGAATAGTGCTTCCTTTTAAAATTCTAATAAATGCAAAGAATAATTATAAAATTATCATTTTGTAATCTACAATGGATAATCTGCTATGATGTCATAGGAAGTACGCAGGCCACCTATACATGTATGCCAGACCCAGAACAGAACCTGAGTCTAATCAAGCCCATACATCTAACTGCCAGTTTACAAGAAATACAGGGAAGAGGACTATGTTAACTGATACCATGAGGATATAATCAGCAGACAAATCCAGAATGTGAAAAATTTCATGACAAATGACTCAAATTCTTCAACAAATAAATGACATGAAAAGAAAGGTGAGTGAATTGTTAGCGAGCGTAAAAGAAAGTTAAGAGACTTGGCCGGGCGCGGTGGCTCAAGCCTGTAATCCCAGCACTTTGGGAGGCCGAGATGGGCGGATCACGAGGTCAGGAGATCGAGACCATCCTGGCTAACACGGTGAAACCCTGTCTCTACTAAAAAATACAAAAAAACTAGCCGGGCGAGATGGCAGGCGCCTGTAGTCCCAGCTACTCGGGAGCCTGAGGCAGGAGAATGGCCTAAACCCGGGAGGCGGAGCTTGCAGTGAGCTGAGATCCGGCCACTGCACTCCAGCCCGGGCGACAGAGCAAGACTCCGTCTCAAAAAAAAAAAAAAAGAAAGGTAAAAGACCTCAATCAAATGTAAGATATGAACCTTGTTTGGATCTAGATTTGAACAAATCATTTGAAACAATAGAAAACTGACATTAGACTGTGTATGAGATGATATGAAGGAATACAGTTAAATAGATCTTTTTTTTGGAGATAGGGACTCACACTGTCACCAAGGCTGGAGTGCAGTGGCCCAATCACAGCTCACTGCAGCCTCAACATTCTAGGCTCAAGTGATCCTCCCACATCAACTTCCAGAGTAGCTGGGACTACAGGCATACACCACCACACCTAGCTAATTTATTTTTTATTATTTGTAGAGACAAGGTCTCGCTATGCTGCTTAGGCTGGTTGTTAACTCTGTTGGGTCTGATTATGATATTATAGTTAGGCTTTTTTAGAAGTCCTTATCAGATAGAGATAAATATTGAAGAATGTAGGGGTGAAATGATATGATGGTCTTCAGATTTATTTTAAAATAATCTGGCAGGGGTGGACAGGGAATATGTGTACATGTAGAAGATTAAAAATAAATGGCAAAATGTTGATAATTGACATTATTTTCTTGGGTTTTGTTTTTTTCGAAACATTATGGCTTAAGGAAAATAATTTACTTACTTGGTGACTTGCCTATGTTGTAGCTATTAAAAAAATAGGGTTTTTGTGAGTTTACACCTTGTTTATCTACTTGATGGGACTGAGTAGCTTCCTTCAACTGAGATAGAATTTGTCTACCACTGCGCTGGGAAGAGGCATTCACTTCAAATATCTAAAAGAAGAAAAACGAAGGGAGAATGGTTTATGTCTCTTTTTAATCCAAGGGTAATTATTACACTGACATTCTCTCATCATAGCTGTTACTAACCTTAAATCCAAGCTCCTGGGCACAAGCATACACAGCAGCAGTTTTTCCCACTCCTGTTGGCCCTGTTATAAGGACAGTATTGCAAAGACGACTCTCTTCATCATCTGAACTGCCTTTAAAGTCTATGCCACCCGAGAAATCTGAAAAATTATTCAAATGCATATAAAATGATAATTGCTGAGGAAGCAGTTCTACCTTATGAAATCCAATGATTAAATCCCACAAACTTCTTGCAATAAATGCTGAAATATTACTTTATAAAAAGTAGAAAATCAGGCCGGGTATGGTGGTACATGCCTGTAATTCCAGCATTTTGGGAAGCCGAGGCGGGCAGATCACAAGGTCAGGAGTTCAAGACCAGCCTGGCCAACATGGTGAAACCCCATCTCTACTAAAAATACAAAAATTAGCCAGGTGTGGTGACACATGCCTGTAGTCCCAGGTACTCAAGTAGGCTGAGGTGAGAGAATCACTTGAACCCAGGAGGCGGAGGTTGCAGTGAGCCGAGATCACACCATTGCACTCCAGCCTGGGTGACAGAGTGAGACTCTGTCTCAAAAAAAAAAAAAGCAGAAAATCAAATATAAAATACCAATTAAGAAATTTTATACAAAGTTTTAGTTAATGTAACTAAAAATGTTCAGTGAAACGGTAAAAAAAAGACACAAGATACCTTCCTGTTTCTCATCTCTTTTTCCCTTCAGATTCTGCCTTTCTTCCAATTCAGCTCTTCTTTTCCAGTCTTTCAACCAACTGCCACAAGAAAATGTAATAAAAATAATTCACAGAATATAGCTATGCCTTAGACTTTATGTTAAAATGATTATTGGGGGAAGTTATGGCATATTGTTAGTTTCTCTGGCATTGGCCATTCAACTGATGAAGGGCCTTCTTGTTATTTTTACTAGTACAGCTTTATATGGCATATTGTTAGTTTCTAAACACTCCATAGTGCTTGTGAATCAATTAAAGAGTAAAATAGTTTTACATGGACATGAACATTTAGTAGTTTCTGCCAAAATATATAAGACTGTATGTGCAAGAATATTCACTGTAGCATTGTTCATATTAGCCTCTAACAGGAAAAACATAAAAATACACCAGTGGGGAAAAAATACATTATAGTACAGTCACTTAGAAACCAGTATACAGCAATTAAAAAGAACTGAGGTGGCAGGGCAGGCACAGTGGCTCAGGCCTGTAATCCCAGCACTTTGGGAGGCGGAGGCAGATGAATTGCTTGAGCTCAGGAATTTGAAACCAGCCTGGGCAACACAGCGAAACCTGTCTCTACAAAAAACATTAGCCAGGAATGGTGGGGTACCATGCCTGGCTTGGGAGGCTCAGGTGGGAGGATGGCTTGAGCTTGAGAGGCAAAGCTTGCAGTGAGCCAAGATTCCACCACTGTACTCCAGCCTGGGCAACAGAGCAAGACCCTGTCTCAAAATTAAAAAAAAGAACTGCGGTATATTGTGTAATCACATGAAAGGTGCCTAATATACAATGTACAACAGAAAGATTAAGTTCTAGTCTGGAGCTAGAATGCCTGAGTTTAAATCCCAGTTCCATCACTTTCTAGCTGTGTGACTTTGGACAAATAACTCAGCCTCTCTAGGCCTTGGTTTCTTCATCTGTGAGGTGAGGACAACAGTATTTATGCTCATAGTATTTTTTTTTTTGACAGTCTTGCTTTGTCACTGGAGTGTAGGGGTGTGATCATAGCTCACCGCAGCCTCGAATTCTTGGACTCATGTGACCCTCCCACCTCAGGCTCCTGAGTGGCTCAGAATCCAAGTGGGCGCCATCATGCCTAACATTTTTTTTATTTTTTGTAGAGATGGGGTCAACCTATTTTGCCCAGGCTGCTCTCAAACTCCTGGCCACAAACAATCCTCCTGCCTCAGCCTACGAAAGCACTGGGATTACAGGCTTGAGCCACTGTACCCAACTGCTCACAGTACTGTTCTAAGGATAAAATGAATGAAGAACAGTACAAAAAAAAAAAAAAAGAACAATACAAGTACTTAAGAACAGTAGTACCAAGTTCACACTATTAACTATAATTATGGGTCCATAAATCCTTATATGAAATCCTTTGGGCCAGATTGTTTTAGAATTAATTTTTCAGATACTTAAAAGGTTATTTAGTACATATACTGCATATTACATAATACCCCTAATGGGGTCTAGGCAGTACACCCATAATCACTTAAGTTGGTTTGGTTTGTTTGTTTGTTTTGTTTTGAGACAGACCCTTACTCTGTCGCCTAGGCTGCAGCACACGGGCACAATCTCGGCTCACTGCAATCTTCGCCTCCCGGGTTCAAGCAATTCTCATGCCTCAGCCTCTCCAGTAGCTAGGATTACAGGCATGCATCACCACACCTAGCTAATTTTTGTATTTTTAGTAGAGATGGGGTTTCACCATGTTGGCCAGGCTGGTCTCAAACTCCTAGCCTCAAGTGATCCACCCGCCTTGGCCTCCCAAAGTACTGGGATTACAGGTATGAGTCACCGCGCTGGGCCATCACTTAATATTTTTATTAAAAAATATGTGAATTCTGGCCGGGCACAGTGGCTGACACCTGTAATCCCAGCACAGCACTTTGGGAGGCCAAGGTGAGTGGATCACCTGAGGTCAGGAGTTCGAGACCAGCCTGGTCAACATGGCGAAACTGTCTCTACCAAAAATACAAAAATTACCCTGGCATGGTGGTGCACCTCTATAGTCCCAGCTACTCAGGAGGCTGAGGCAGGAGAATCTATTGAACTTGGGAGGCAGCGGCTGTAGTGAGCCAAGATCATGCTATTACACTCCAGCCTGGGTGACCGAGTGAGACTCTGTCTCAAAAAAAAACCACAAAAATTTTGTAAATTCTAAGTGTAAAGGTACAACAAATTTCATGTAATCAATTCAATAAACTTTCATTATTCAGAATTTTTTGGATGTGAGAATTGAAGATGAAGGACTGGGGACCTGAATTAGTAGTAATGTGATCCCATTTGTTAGAAAGGAAGGAACTAACATATGCATAAAATATTTTTCTGGAAGCTTTTACAAAACATTTTCAATGATTATCTCTGAGAAGTAGAAATATAAGAAAAGAGGGCTACTTGTCACTTAAACTTCTACCATTTTTTGAAGATTTTATCAGGAAATATATTACTTTATAACTACAATTTCTAAACAAAAATAGTAAAACTAAGATTGTAAACTATTTCTCAATTCCTTTACACATTTTACCAACCTATGTAACTTTTTTATAGCTAACTCATTTCCTATAAGTTCACTGGCAGTCTGAGGTTGATACTTTTCTGTCCAAAGCATGTCTTCAGTTCCAGAATCTAAAGCAAAAAAAAAAAAAAAAAAAAAAAAAAAAAATTAAGGTATTCATTCCTTGACATAAACATATATGAATTATTACTCATTTACATTATTATTACAATGTCACAGTAGGTATTTGCAGAAATATTTATATTTACAAAATGCCAGAGGTAATTTTAAAACAACATTACATTTAAAATTCTTCACACCAAACCCTTCCCCCTAAAAAACAATAACCACCATAATCTTATTAAAATATTAAAGTGCACACTTAAACATTGTTGGTTTTTTTTTTTTCTTTTAGGGTTACCATCTGGCCCAGCAATCCCATTACTGGGTATATACCCAGAGGAAAATAAACTGTTCTATCAAAAAGATACATGTACTCACATGTTTATCAGCACTATTTAGAATAGCAAAGACACTGAACCCGGGAGACGGAGGTTGCAGTGAGCCAGGATTGCGCCACTGCACTCCAGCCTGAGCACTTGAGCAACAGAGTGAGAGTCCATCTCAAAAAAAAAAAAAAAAAAAAAAGCAAAAACATGGAATCAACCTAAGTGCCCAAAAATGGTGGATTGGATAAAGAATTTGTAGGACATATATACACCATGGGATAGTATGCAGCCATAAAAAAGAAATAACTCATATCCTTTGCAGCAACATGGTTGCAGCTGGAGGCCATTATCTATCTATGCAGAAACAGAAAACCAAATACTTCATGTTCTCGTTTATAAGCAGAACCTAAACACTGGGTACACATGGACATAAAGATGGGAACAAAAGACAATGGAGGCTACGTGTGATGGCTCACACCTATAATCCCAGCACTTTGGGAGGCCAAGGCAGGTAGACCACTTGAACCCAGGAGATCGGGATTGGCCTGGGCAACATAGTGTTACCCTGTCTCTTAACAACAAAAAGACACTGGGGACTACAAAAGGGAGGAGGGAAGAAGTGAGGACAAGGGTTGAAAAACTATCTATTGGGCACTATGCTCACTATTTGGGTGACAGGTTCAATTGAAGTCCAAATCTCAGCGACATGGAATTTATCCATGTGACAAACCTGCACATGTGCAGGTCGAAAATTAAAAATAGTTTTTTCTTTTTTTAAGAGATGAGGTCTTGCTATGCTGTCCAGGCTGGACTGCAGTGGCTATTCACAAGTATGAACACATCTCCCTGCATTCCTGAACTTTGGACCTCAAGCTCCCACCCCAGCCTCCTGAGTAGGTGGGACTACAGATGTGAGTCACCACAACCAGCAATATTTAAATTTTTAATAACCACTGAAGAAACATGAACGATGAGAAATAATCTGTGACATAAAACCAATAATCAGGCTGGGTGCAGTGGCTCATGCCTATAATCCCAGCACTTTGGGAGGCCGAGGAGGGCGGATCACTTGAGGTCAGGAGTTCGAGATCAGCCTGGCCAACATGGTGAAACCCCATCTCTACTAAAAATACAGAAAGTAGGCTGGGCTCGGTGGTTCACATCTGTAATCCCAGCAGTTTGGGAGGTCGAGGTGGGCAGATCACTTGAGGTCAGGAGTTCGAGACCAGCCTGGCCAACATGGTGACACCCCGTCTCTACTAAAAATATAAAAATTAGCCGGGCATGGTGGCGCATGCCTGTAGTCACAGCTACTAAAGAGGGTGAGGCAGGAGAATAGCTTGAACCTGGGAGGTGGAGGTTGCAGTGAGCCGAGATCGTGCCACTGCACCCCAACCTGGGCGACAGAGCGAGACTTCGTCTCAAAAAAAAAAAAGCTGGGCGCGGTGGCTCACAGCTGTAATCCCAGCACTTTGGGAGGCTGAGGCAGGTGGATCACAGGTCAGGAGATGGAGACCATCCTGGCTAACACGGTGAAACCCCATCTCTACTAAAAATACAAAAAATTAGCCAGGCATGGTGGCGTGAGCCTGTAGTCCCAGCTACTTGGAAGACTGAGGCAGAAGGATGGCATGAACCCGGGAGGCGGAGCTTTCAGTGAGCCAAGATCATGCCACTGCACTCCAGCCTGGGTGACAGAGCAAGACTCTGTCTCAAAAAAAAAAAAAAAATGCATCAAGTAGCTGAGCATGGTAGTGGGCGCTCACTCGGGAGGCTGACGCAGAAGAATCACTTGAACTCGGGAGGTGGAGGCTGCAGTGAGTCCAGATCATGCTAGCACAGTCCAGCCTGGGCAACAGAGTGAATCCATCTCAAAAAATTAAATAAATAAATAAAGAACAAAACAATAATCTACAGAACAACAGTGGCATAGTCTTATTGGACCCTCTTTTAACCCTGAAAAGAAACATTAAAACATCCTATAAAGTCAACCTGGGAAAATGGAGAAAGATGCCACATTCCCAGTTGAGAAGACTACTGTAAAGATGCCACTTCTCTCCATTAAGCTATAGATAATTGTAAAATTAAAATCTCAACAGGATTTATGGGGTAAGGTAAACTGTAGTCCATCGAATAAAGCAAATACATAAAAATTATTTTAAAAATAATGATAAGAGACTTGCCATATCAAATACTAAAACATGCTATAGGTTGAGTATCCCTTATCTGAAATGCTTGGGACCAGAAATTTTCCAACTGAATTTAATGAGATATCCCTAGGATGAGGCCGAAGTCTAAACATGGAATTCACTTCTGTTTCATATACACCTGTACACACAGCCTGAAAGTAATTTTATACAATATTTTAAATAATTTTGTGCAAGAAAAAAAGTTTTGTCCCCATTTTGACTGTCACCTGTCCAGAAGAGGTTAGGTGTGGAATTTTCTTTTTTCTTGAAACAGGGTCTTGCTCTGTCACCCAGCCTGGAGTAGTGGTGAATCATGGCTCACTATAGCCTTAACCTCAAGTGATCCTCTCGCATCAGCCTCCCATGGAGCTGAGACTACAGGCATGTGCCACCATGCCTAGCCAATTTTTTTTTTTTTTTTTTTTTTGTAAAGGTGTGGTCTCCCTATCTTGCCCAGCCTGGCCTCAAACTCCTGGGCTCAAGCAATGCTCCTACCTCGGCCTCTCAAAGCGCTGGGATTATAGGGATGAGCCATGGTGCCCAGGCCCAGATATGGAATTTTCCACTTATGGCACCATGTCAGCACTCAAAACGTTTTGGATTTTGGAGCATTTCAAATTTCAGATTTTTGGATTAGGGATACTCATCCTGTATAAAGCTATATAAATGAATTAAATCAATAGCATACTTTGGAAAAGCTATATAAACTGAATGGGGCTGGGCACAGTGGCTCACGCCTGTAATCCCAGTACTTCGGGAGGCCGAGGCGGGCGGATAACCTGAGGTCAGGAGTTCAAAACCAGCCTGACCAACATGGAGAAACCCGGTCTCTACTAAAAATACAGAATTAGCCAGGCATGGTGGACCATGCCTGTAATCCCAGCTACTTGGGAGGCTGAGGCAGGAGAATCGCTTAAATCCAGGAGGCAGAGGTTGCAGTGAGCCAAGATCACGCCATGGCACTGCAGCCTGGGCAAAAAGAGCAAAACTCTGTCTCAAAAATAGTAAATAAATAAAATAAACTGAATGGGAACATGTCAGAGATATGTGAAACATGCACACACATATAAAATATTTTACATGTACACACATGTAAAATAATATGTATGGGATAATACCAGATTTTCTTTTTACTTTGTTACGTTTTCTTTTTTTCCCCCCTAGACGGAGTCTTGCTCTGTCGCCTGGGCTGCAGTGCAGTGGCGAGATCTTGGCTCACTGCAGCCTCTGCCTCCTGGATTCAAGCAATTCTCCTGCCTCAGCCTCCCAAGTAGCTGGGGTGGCACGCGCCACCACACCTGGTTAATTTTTGTATGTTTAGTAGAGACAGGGTTTTGCCACGTTGGCCAGGCTGGTCTCAAACTCCTGACCTCAGATGATCCGCCCACCTCGGCCTCCCAAAGTGCTGGGATTACAGGTATGAGCCACTGCACCCGGCCACTGTGTTACTTTTTTTTTTAACTTTTTAGTTTTAAAATTGTCATCCCTTCACTTGAGGTCAGGAGCTTGAGACCAGCCTGGCCAACATGGCGAAACCCCATCTCTACTAAAAATACCAAAAAAAAAAAAAAAAATGTCATCTTTGCACAAGGGGCCATGCTAATTTTCTCTGTATCATTCCAATTTTAGTATACGTGCTGCTGAAGCGAGCACAATACCAGATTTTTTTAAAAGCACATATATTGGCCGTGTGCAGTGGCTCATGCCTGTATTCCCAGCACTTTGGGAGGCCAAAGCGGGCAGATCAATTGAGGTCAGGAGTTCGAGACCTGCCCGGGCAACACAGTGAAACCCTGTCTCTATTGAAAATACAAAAATTAGCCGGGCGTGGTGGCGCGCACCTCTCATCCCAGCTACTTAGAAGGCTGAGGCAGGAGAATCACTCGAATCCGGGAGGCAGAGGTTGTAGTGAGCTGAGATCAGGCGAGTGACGGAGAGAGATGCTGTCTCAAAAAATAAAAAAAAAAGCACATATATTTATAGAAGCACAGAAAAATCAAAGACTGAACACTTATCTGTTAATATGGCCATTTGTAAGCCCATAATCCATGAGGTTCTATTTATTTCAAAGACATAATTATTTTTTGAAAGTTGCAATAAGAAAAAAAAAAGAGAGAGACAGAGAAGGAAAGAATGAGAAGTTAAAAAACAAAAGAGTTCTAGGACTAGAAGGAAAAACTCGAATTTACCAGGAATGGAAGATATTAATATTTCTGGTGCAGACTGTCATCATCCAATTATTAGAATATCAAAATCTGCACTTTGGGAGGCCAAGGTGGGTGGATCACCTGAGGTCAGGAGTTTGAGACCAGCCTGGCCAACATGGTAAAATCCTGTCTCTACTAAAAATATAAAAATTACCTGGGCGTGGCCAGGCACGGTGGCTCACACCTGTAATCTCAGCACTTTGGGAGGCTGAGGTGGGTGAATCATGAGGTCGGGAGTTCGAGACCAGCCTGGCCAATCCCGTCTCTACTAAAAATACAAAAAATTAGCTGGCGTGGTGGCGGGCTCCAGCCCGGACAGCTGTGCAAGACTCCATCTCAAACAAACAAACAAAAAATTATCTGGGTGTAGAGGTGGGCGCCTGTAATCCCAGCTACCCAGGAGGCTGAAGCAAGAGAATCGCCTGAACCCAGGAAGTGGAGGAAGGTTGCAGTGAGCCAAGATCGTGCCATTGCACTCCAGCCTGGGCGACAAGAGTGAAACTGTGCCTCAAAAAAAGAAAAAAAAAAGAAAAAGAAAATCTAAAATTAAAATACAACTGAATTAAAATTTTTAAAAAAGAATATCAAAATCTTCTACTGCTTTGGTTTCCACTTTATATGTACTCAAAGCAATCTGTTTCTTTTGGGATGTTTTAGAAAATATACCTTTGGAAGAATCTAGCTTTATCCCAGAAGAGTTGTTTATTTTGCCAAGTTCTTCTGACTTCCTATTGGTCTTCTCCAGATTTTTTGAATACTCATTTGGTTTCTTTCTTTTTGACTTAGAATTTTCTGCTTCCACGCGTTTCCTTTTGGTTTCTTTATGATTGACATCAGCCTCTAGTTCTACTTTGGGAATTAAAGAAATGCATGTACTTCTTACTAATCAACAAAAACCAGTAACATTAATATCACTTCCAAGTATCCAATAGTCTTGTAACTTTAAAATGAAAAGGCAAGCCAGGTGCAGTGGCTCAGGCCTCTAATCCCAGAACTTTGGGAGGTTGAGGTGGGTGGACTGCTTGAGTCTATACGTTTGAGACCAGCCTGGGTAACATGGGGAAACCCCAGCTTTACTAAAGATAGAAAAATCAGCCAGGGGTGGTGGCGTGCACCTGTAGTCCCAGCTACTTGGGAGGCTGTGGTGGGAGGATCACATGAACCCAGGAGATCGAGGCTGCAGGGAGCCATGATCACACCACTGTACTCTAGGCTGGGTGACAAAGTGAGACTCTGTCTCTTAAAAAACAAATAAATAGGCTGGGCATGGTGGCTCACACCTGTAATCCCAGCACTTTGGGAGGCCAAGGCGGGTGGATCACACCGCTGCACTCCAGCCTGGGTGACAGAGCAAGACTCCGTCTCAAAAAATAAAAATAAAAATAAATAAATAAACAAACAAATAAATAAGCCAGGCATGGTGGCTCACGTCTGTAACCCCAGCACTTTGGGAGGCTGAGGCGAGTGAATCACTTGAGGTCAGGAATTCGAGACCAGCCTGACTGACATGGTGAAACCCCATCTCTACTGAAAAATACAAAAATTAGGCATGGTGGCAGGCGCCTGTAATCCCAGCTACTAGGCAGGCTGAGACACCAGAATCACTCAAATCCAGGAGGCAGAGGTTGCAGTGAACTGAGATTGTGCCACTACACTTCAGCCTGGGTGACAGAGCAAGACTCTGTCTCAAAAAATAAATAAAATAAAATAAAATAAAATAAAAAGGCAAGAATCAAATATACTGAAAGCAAGCGGGAGATTTTAATACTTAGACTGTCTTTTATACAAGCTATATAAGCTAAAATTATCTAAGGCATTCCTTAAATGAATAATATTTCAACATAATTAAAGCTATCTTTGGGTTGGCATTTTTGGAAACTGGCAGGGATTGATGTTGCATATTGCATTGTACAAGATACTCTTACTTCAGCTGAACAACTCTCCCTGCCAACTGTAAGCAATGTTGTCTGCAGTGAACACTTCCAAGTGTCAATGGTTAAGTCTTAGTGTTTTCAAAACTGACATGTTAGGCCAGGCATGGTGGCTCATGCCTGTAATCCCAGCACTTTGGGAAGCTAAGGCGGAAGGATCACTTGAGCCCAGGAGTTCAAGACCAACCTGGGCAACATGGCAAGACCTGGTCTCTACCAAAAATACAGAAACTAGCCAGTCTCATAACCCAGTCTCAAAAAAATAAATAAAAATTTAAAAATAAAATAAGCTAGGTGCAGAGGCGCAAGCCTGTGGTCCCAGCTACTCGGGAGGCTGAGACACAGGAATCACTTGAGGTCAGGAGGCAAAGATTGCAGTGAGCCAAAGTTGCACCACTGCATTCCAGCCTGGATGACGAGCAACACTCTGTCTCAAAAAAAAAAAAAAAGAAAAAAAAAATTGGCCAAGCACAGTGGCTTACGCCTGTAATCCCAGCATTTTGGGGGCCTGAGGTGGGTGGATCACCTGAGATCAAGAGTTCAAGACCAGTCTGGCCAACATGGTGAAACCCCATCTCTACTAAAAATACAAAAATCAGCAGGGTGTCGTGGTGGGCTCCTGTAATCCCAGCTACTTAGGAGGCTGAGGCAGGAGAATCACTTGAACCCAGGAGGCGGAGGTTGCAGTGAGCCAGGTTTGTGCCATTGCACTCCAGCCTGGGCGACAGAGCAAAACTCCATCTCAGAAATAAAAATAAAAATAAAAATAAAATAATAAATAATATAAAAACTCAAAACTGGTATCTCAACATAAATGATAATAATTATCACTAACCTTGTTTACTATGACACTCAGAAGAAAGTACTTGGTGCTCAATTCGTTTTTTTAGGAGTAAGGGAAAATATTTTTTCAATGAAAATTCAGGATTTGACCACCTAATTTCCTCAAGCAAAAGATTTCTTACTTCTTCAGTAAATTCCTTCCTTGTCCTTACGAACTGCAATAAAGAATAAAATGCACAATAACAGACCATCATCTATTCATGTTAATTACAATACTACCAACCACTTTCTGTCCATCATAAATCAGTATCAACGTAAGATTAGCTTTAAGCCAGGCACAGTGGCTCACGCCTATACTCCCAGCACTTTGGGAGGCCGAGGCGGGTGGATCATCTGAGGTTAGGAGTTTTAGACTAGCCTAGCCAACATGGTGAAATCCCATGTCTACTAAAAATACAAAAATTAGCCAGGCATGGTGGCACATGCCTGTAATCCCAACTACTAGGGGGGCTGAGGCAGGAGGATCACTTGGACCTGGGAAGCAGAGGTTGCAGTGAGCTGAGATCATGCCACTGCACTCCAGCCTGGGCAACAGGTCGAGACTCCATCTCAAAAAAAAAAAAAAATTAGCTTTAGTCACTAAATATAAAACTTACGAAGAATTAATTTATTTCTCCCTTTGAACAAATTATATCTATTAGCTTATACGACCGACTTATAAAGTATCTAAATGTGCTATGGGTTTTTTTTGTTTTTTTGTTTTTGTTTTTTTTTTTTTGAGACGGAGTCTCGCTCTGTCATCCAGGCTGGAGTGCAGTGGCGCAATCTTGGCTCACTGCAAGCTCCGCCTCCCGGGTTCACGCCATTCTCCTGCCTCAGCCTCCCGAGTAGCTGGGACTACAGGCGCCTGCCACTGCGCCCAGCTAATTTTTTTTCTATTTTTAGTAGAGACGGGGTTTCACCATCGTCTCGATCTCCTGACCTTGTGATCCGCCCGCCTCGGCCTCCCAAAGTGCTGGGATTACAGGCGTGAGCCACCGCGCCCGGCCAATGTGCTATGTTTTTAAAGCTCTATGGGTATTTAAAAGAAATGTGTGCTACAATTAGGATTTATTTTTAAATATTAGGCTGGGTGCAGTGGCTTACGGCTGTAATCCCAGCACTTTGGGAGGCCGAGGCAGGAGGATCACCTGAGGTAGGGAGTTCAAGACCAGCCTGACCAACATGGAGAAACCCCGTCTCCACTGAAAATACAAAAAACTAGCCAGGCCTGGTGGCGCATGCCTATAATCCCAGCTAGTAGGGAGGCTGAGGCAGGAGAATTGCTTGAACCTGGGAGGTGGAGGTTGTGGTGAGTCAAGATCGTACCATGGCACTCCAGCCTGGGCAACAAGAGTGAAACTCCATCTCAAAAAAAAAAAAAAAAATTACACTCAGTTGGGCGCGGTGGCTTAGGTCTGTAATCCCAGCATTTTGGGAGGCCAAGACAGGCATATCCACAAGGTTAGGAGTTCAAGACCAGCCCAGCCAAAATGGTGAAACTTCATCTCTACTAAAAATACAAAAATTGGCTGGGCGTGGTGGTGTGTGCCCGTAGTCCCAGCCACTCGGGAGGCTGAAGCAGGAGAACTGCTTGAACTTAGCAGGCAGAGGTTGCAGTGAGCCAAGATTGCACCACTGCACTCCAGTCTGGGCAACAGCGAGACTCTGTCTCAAAAAAAAAAAAAAATTAAACTCTAGGACAACACTTGAGGCTATAAGAGTAGATATCCAAAATTTTTTTCCTCTGCAAGATGTAAGGGAAACGCTCTACAATGGATGAGCTATTTATTTAGTACTTACCACAGCAGCAGAGTTACTGCTTTTCAACTTTGAATTCAATGTTGAAAATTCACCAAGAGCAAGAACACATTTTGAGAGATCTATCACTTTAGTGTTCAGTTCTTTAAATTTAGTTAAGAGAGGACAAGAGGGTGGTTTCAAATGCCACAAACAACACCCTAAAGAAAAATAGAAAAATATCTTAATAAACCTTATTTATATACTATCCATTTACTGAATGTCAAATATGTAAACACGAAAAGACTTGACAACTACATAATTAATACAAACGTACCAAAAACCCACTGACTATAAAGGGAACAAAATCCTACCCTCCAACAAATAGAATTAATAAAAATCACCTAGACTTCCCTCTCAGTTGTTAAAAACAAACAAATATTAACAAACTTTCCTTTCTTTTCAAATCAACCTTGATACTCAGGTTAAAACTTTTAGGAGGGCCAGGCGCAGTGGCTCACGCCTGTCATTCCAGCACTTTGGGAAGCCAAGGCAGGTGGATCACTTGAGATCAGGAGTTCGAGACCAGCCTGGCCAACATGGTGAAACCCTTTCTCTACTAAAAATACAAAAATTAGCCAGGCATGGTGGTGCACACCTGTAATCCCAGCTACTCAGGAGGCTGAGGCAAGAGAATTGCTTGAACCCAGGAGACAAGGTTGCAGTGAGCTGAGATCTCGTCACTGCACTCCAGCCTGGGCGATAGAGCAAGACTCTGTCTAAAAAAAAAAAGAAAAAGAAAAACCATTTAGGAGGCAGTTAGCATCCTGGTCTAAAGCTAAACTTTGAAGTTAGACCAGGATTCAAACCCAACCTCTGCCACTTACTAACCTTGTGAGCACTGGCAAGATCCTATATCTTAAGTTTCTTCACCCTCACATTCAAAGTGAGGGTGATAATTATAATACTCAGCCTCTTAAAGAGTTGTTATTAGGATTAAACTAGATATGTATATGAATTGCTCAGCAAAATTCCAGACAATAGTAAGCGTTCAATAATTCTGAAGGGTGTAAGAGAGGTTCCCTCTGTGCTTGCCTCTCTGCTCATCTACAAATAGATATGCTAAGTTTTATAGCAGCACTCCTGTGAAAATGAGTTTATCGGCCGGGCGCGGTGGCTCAAGCCTGTAATCCCAGCACTTTGGGAGGCCGAGACGGGCGGATCATGAGGTCAGGAGATCGAGACCATCCTGGATAACCCAGTGAAACCCCGTCTCTACTAAAAAATACAAAAAAAAAAAAATTAGCCGGGCGAGGTGGCGGGCGCCTGTAGTCCCAGCTACGCGGGAGGCTGAGGCAGGAGAATGGTCTAAACCCGGGAGGCGGAGCTTGCAGTGAGCTGAGATCCGGCCACTGTACTCCAGCCTGGGCGACAGAGCCAGACTCCGTCTCAAAAAAAAAAAAAAAAAAAAAAAAGAAAAAGAAAATGAGTTTATCAAAATGAGGCAAGAAAAGCATAACTAATTCCTACAGTTGAAGATACTATTCGAAAATGCTACATAAAGCTGTACTAGTAAAAAAAAAAAACAAGAAAGTCTTCATCAATTGAATGGCCAGTGGCAGAGATGGAAAATAAGAAAAAGTAGAATAAATTACTGAAAAGACTAGCTGGGAAATTCCCACGTACAGAAGAGAGGCTAAACTTTTTTTTTTTTTTTTTTTTGAGACAGGGTCTCGCTCTGTCACCTAGGCTGGAATGCAGTGGCATGATCATGGCTCACTGTAGCCTTGACCTCCTAGGCTCAAGTGATCCTCCCACCTCAGCCTCCCGAGTAGCTGGGACTACAGACACGCACCATCATGTCTAGCAAATTTTAATTAATTAATTTAGTTAGTTAGTTTAGAGACAGGATCTTGCTGTGTTGCCCAGGCTGGTCTCAAACTCCTGGGCTCAAGCTCTTCTCCTGCATTGGCCTCTCAAAGTTCTGGGATTACAGGCATGAGACACCGCACCCAGCCTATACCATTTTACACAAGAAACTGGAGCATCCATGAGTGCTGGTATCCACAAGGTGGTCCTGGAAACAAACCCCATGGATAGTGAGAGAAACTGTCCTTAAAATTCCCACTAAAGTTACCATAAGAATGATAATTAAACCACAGCCTCATCTTTAAGAAACTTACATAGTTTAATGTTACTGCTAACAGTTGAAGAGTAAATATTCAATAATAAAAAACAAACTTACCATCATCCTTTTGTTGTACGTGAACGACTCGCTGGAAACTGGTACTCACTGCATTGTACACATCCAATGCAGCAGCTTTCTTCGCAATTTGCCGTTTCAACAAATCTGGCAAACCACTCATTAGGAAGTCACGCTTTGCTTTGCATTGAACATCATAATCCTGAGATTTTTCAGATATATCTTGACTTTTAAGAAAATGATGTGAAAATGAAAAGCTAAGGTTATAAACATTTAAAGGAATAAACTATCTAGAAAATAAACATTTTTAGGGCTGGGCATGGTGGCTCATGCCTGTAATATAAGTACTTTGAGAGGCCAAGGTGGGCGGATCACTTAAGGCAAGGAGTTCAAGACCATCCTGGCCAACATGGTGAAACCCCATCTCTACTAAAAATACAAAAATTAGCCAGGTGTGGTGGCGCATGCCTGTAATCCCAGCTACTTGGGTGGCTGAGGCATGAGAATCACTTGAGCCTGGAAAGCAGAGGTTGCAGTAAGCCAAGATTGCGCCACTGTACTCTAGCCTTCCAGCCTGGGCGACAGAGTGAAACTGTCTCAAAAAAACAAAAACAAAAACAAAACAAAAACCAGAAAAGAGAAGAAACACTTTGAAATTTAATTTTTAAAAATTAAATAAATTGGCAGGGCGTGGTGGCTCATGCCTATAATACTAGCACTTTGGGAGGCCAAGGAAGGTGGATCACCTGAGGTCAGGAGTTCGAGACTAGCCTGGCCAACATGACGAAACCCCGTCTCTACTAAAAATACAAAAATTAGCTGGGCATGGTGGTGGGTGCCTGTAATCCCACCTACTCAGGATGCTGAGGCAGGAGAATGGCTTAAACTCGGGGGCAGAGGTTGCAGGGAGCCAAGATCATACCACTTCACTCCAGCCTGGGTGAAAGAGGGAGACTCCATTTCAAAAAAAAAAAAAATTAAATTAAATTAAATTAATAAGATGTATTAAATTCAATAAATTAATATTTTAGGTAATACATTTATCTAAATATAAAACATATATGAGGTAATTTTATATAAAATATTTAAATGTTAGCTTTATGTATAAAATATAATTATATAAATAATTCATATAATTTATATATAATTATATTAAAATTTTACGTTTTAGAATTTATATAAATATTGACAAATATTAATTTTATTAAATTTAATTAATACATTTAGGTAATAAAATTACCTAAAATATTAGCTGGTCAAATTCTTTTTTGCTTATCACAAAAATGAAAGTCTACCCATGTTATGAAATTAAGGCCAAGGCCGGGCGAGGTGGCTCAAGCCTGTAATCCCAGCACTTTGGGAGGCCGAGACAGGCGGATCACGAGGTCAGGAGATCGAGACCATCCTGGCTAACCCGGTGAAACCCCGTCTCTACTAAAAAATACAAAAAACTAGCTGGGCAAGGTGGCGGGCGCCTGTAGTCCCAGCTACACGGGAGGCTGAGGCAGGAGAATGGCGTAAACCTGGGAGGTGGAGCTTGCAGTGAGCTGAGATCTGGCCACTGCACTCCAGCCCGGGTGACAGAGCAAGACTCCGTCTCAAAAAAAAAAAAAAGAAATTAAGGCCGGGCACGGTGGCTCAAGTCTGTAATCCCAGAACTTTGGGAGGCCGAGACGGGCGGATCACAAGGTCAGGAGATCGAGACCATCTTGTCTAACACGGTGAAACCCCGTCTCTACTAAAAAATACAAAAAAAATAGCCGGGCGAGGTGGCGGGCGCCTGTAGTCCCAGCTACTCGGAAGGCTGAGGCAGGAGAATGGTGTAAACCCGGGAGGTGGAGCTTGCAGTGAGCTGACATCCGGCCACTACACTCCAGCCTGGGCGACAGAGCAAGACTCCGTCTCAAAAAAAAAAAAAAAAAAAGGCCGGGCGCGGTGGCTCAAGCCTGTAATCCCAGCACTTTGGGAGGCCGAGACGGGCGGATCACGAGGTCAGGAGATCGAGACCATCCTGGCTAACACGGTGAAACCCCGTCTCTACTAAAAAAAATACAAAAAACTAGCTGGGCGCGGTGGCGGGCGCCTGTAGTCCCAACTACTCGGGAGGCTGAGGCAGGAGAATGGCGTGAACCCGGGAGGCGGAGCTTGCAGTGAGCTGAGATCCGGCCACTGCACTCCAGCCTGGGTGGCAGAGCGAGACTCCGTCTCAAAAAAAAAAAAAAAAAAAAAAAAAAAAAAAAAAAGAAATTAAATAAAAATAAGTATGTATAGAAAAAAGTGACTTAAAGGACATCCACCAAAATGTTAATGGGGGCTATCTTTGGGTGGTAGGTGAGTTTTCTCCCTCTTGTCTTTTGTTTTCTTGCTAAAAATCAGAAAAAAAAAATCACTGTCATATAACAAAAAGTTAATACAAGAACTTCTGATGCAATATTGTTACCAATGTAACAGCAGGAAAAGTAGGGTCCTTATTATTGTCTCAGTTTTGCCCAGTTTATCTTCAGATTGCAAATCATAGGAAGGCTGACTACAGTGGTAGAAGACGGACAAAGACAAAAGGGTGGGGAGAATGGGAGGATGGAGTGGTTGAAGATGGTGTGTCACAGCTTATATGTCCCTCCTAGCCTGCCCGTAGAAAGAACAAGACTCGGCCGGGTGCGGTGGCTCAAGCCTGTAATCCCAGCACTTTGGGAGGCCGAGACGGGTGGATCACAAGGTCAGGAGATCGAGACCATCCTGGCTAACCCGGTGAAACCCCGTCTCTACTAAAAAATACAAAAAACTAGCCGGGTGAGGTGGCAGGCGCCTGTAATCCCAGCTACTCGGGAGGCTGAGGCAGGAGAATGGTGTAAACCTGGGAGGCGGAGCTTGCAGTGAGCTGAGATCCGGCCACTGCACTCTAGCCTGGGCGACAGAGCGAGACTCCGCTTTAAAAAAAAAAAAAAAAAAGAAAGAAAGAACAAGACTCGCAATACTCTGTGCAATTAGATGTTTGGGCTGGTAATTCAAAAGAGGCTACAAAAACTTTTTCTGTATTTGTTTTCCTTTCCTCTTTGAGTGAAATGAAGGGAAAATAAGCTATGAAGCCAGACAGATATTGAATGAGATATCTCTTTTCTTTTTTACTGTTTTTTTTTTGTTTTTTTTTTTTTTTTTTGAGACGGAGTCTCGCTCTGTCGCCCAGGCTGGAGTGCAGTGGCCGCATCGCAGCTCACTGCAAGCTCCGCCTCCCGGGTCTATGCCATTCTCCTGCCTCAGCCTCCCGAGTAGCTGGGACTACAGGCGCCCGCCACCTCACCCGGCTAGTTTTTTGTATTTTTTAGTAGAGACGGGGTTTCACCGTATTAGCCAGGCTGGTCTCGATCTCCTGACCTTGTGATCCGCCCATCTCGGCCTCCCAAAGTGCTGGGATTACAGGCTTGAGCCACCGCGCCCAGCCTTCTTTTTTACTGTTAATTGGAGGGAAGGAGGAAAAGATGGGTATACTAGTAGTTAAATTAGTATGTCCCTATAGCAGAAGGTAGGTGTTAAGGAGAGGGGTACAAGGTACTAATATAAAATATATATGTTATATATGATGTATCATATGTTACATATATATTACATGCATATACATATGTTACACACATAGAAATAGTTTTAAATGTTTGTGTGTGTGTACACATATACATACGTATATATCTGGTTTGGTTTGGATGTGTGTCCCCTCCAAATCTCATACTGAAATACAAACCAGGTGCAGTGGCTCACGCCTGTAATCCCAGAACTTTGGGAGGCTGAGGTGGACAGATCACCTGAGGTCAGGAGTTCAAGACCAGCCTGGCCAACATGGCGAAACCCCATCTCTACTAAAAATACAAAAATAAGTTGGCTGTGGTGGCAGGTGCCTGTAATCCCAGCTACTCGGGAGGCTGAGGCAGGGAGAATCGCTTTAACCCAGGAGGCGGAGGTTGCAGTGAGTCGAGATGGCATTCCAGCCTGGGCGAGAGAGGGAGATTCCATCTCAAAAAAACAAAAACAAAAACAAAACAAAAAAAAACAACCTCCAATGTTGGAGGCAGGCCTAGGTGTTTGGGGTCACAGGGACAGATCCCTCATGAATGGCTTGGTGCTGTCCTCACAGTAATGAGTAAGTTCTCAATCTATTAGCTCACCCAAGAGATGGTTGTTTAAAAAAGGCTGGCACCTCCTCCTCTCTCTTGCTACTTCTCTGGCCATGTGACAGGCCTGCTCTCCCTTCACCTTCTGCCATGAGTTAAAGATTCCTGAGGCCTCACCAACAGCCGAGCCGATGCTGGTGCCATGCTTGCACAATCTATAGAGCTGTGAGCCAAATAAACCTCTTTTCTCTATAAATTACCCAGTCTTAGGTATTCGTTTATGGGAATGCAAAACAGACAAACACAATATCCTAACTTTATCTACTGAAAAGGCCTAGAAGCACTGCCACATAAGGAGCAATGAATTTAATGAACACCTAGACCTTCATCTCTAATTACCATCCTCCACAAAAAGGAACCAGGGGTCGGTAGAGAAATGGCTTACTGCAGAGCTGAGACAGGGCAAGTAAAACAGAAGCCTAGAATATCTTCCTGTTCGAGAAATTAAGAAATGCTCCATAAATTATGAGGACTTATCAAAGGGACATAGAAACCAAGCTGAAGAGCTCACACTGGCCAAATTAAAAACAATTTGAGCATCAAAATAAGTAATATGAATGGGTTATAATCCACTAAATAAAATAAAAATGAAGAGATAAGTAAATAAACTGAGGAGATAAAAAAGCTCTTCCTTATAGCGGCCAATTAACAAATAAAGAAAGAATGACTGCAGTGGAGAATCACCATTTGGAAACCATCATCATGTGGTTAATTCCATTGGAATTCATCAACATTAAGGCCCATAATTGAAGGTTTGATGAGAAAGAAGATTTTGGCATTTGGCCAGGTACAGTGGCTCACATTTGTAACCCCAGCCAGGAGTTCAAGACCAGCCTGGGCAAAATAGTAAGATCTAGTCTCTATTTTTAAAAAAGCAAAAGAGGCCAGTCAAGGTGGCTCACGCCTGTAATCCCAGCACTTTAGGAGGCTGAGGTGAGCAGATAACTTGAGACCAGGAGTTTGAGACAGCCTGGCCAACATGGCAAAACCCTGTCTCTACTAAAAATACAAAAATTAGCCAGGTATGGTGGAGGATACCTGTAATCCCAGCTACTCGGGAGGCTAAG